TGTGTGTGTGTGTGTGTGTGTATGTATATGTGTGTGTGTGTATGTATGTGTGTGTGTATGTATATATGTGTGTGTATGTATATATGTGTGTGTGTATGTGTATATATATGTGTGTGTGTGTGTAATATGTGTGTGTGTGTGTATATATATGTATATATATATATATATATATATATATATATATATATATATATATATATATATATATATATATATATATACATTAGTAATGATGACTGATGAAAAGAATACATACAGACGTTGCAATACAGTACAATATTCTCATAATAAATACATTAAAATCTTACACTTTTCTTCTACAATTTCATTTCCATTTGTTTTATGCTGGACTTGTCCATGTTCCAGTTGATAAAGGAGAGGGGGCAGCGATAAGAAAAAAAAAAAAATGGGAGTCCTGAACCTGACTGATGCCAGGTCCAGGGGCCAGGGTTCTCCCGGAAGAATCTGAGTCCTGGAACCACTGGACAAACAAGCAGCATGCTGGTCCAAGCCAATCACCTCCTAGGAAGAAGCCCCCCGGCCCCAGCTCAAAAGAAGGATAAAAAAGGCTAACCAAGTTCAGGACCGGCTCTCCTTGTCCTAGGTTTGGCACTTCTGGAATGAGGAATTTAAACCCTTAAAAAAAGGGAACCTCGCAGCCCCTAACAGCTGACTTCGAGACACAGCAATGCTGCTCTAAGTTAATTACCTCCTCCAGGAAGCTCCTTATCCCGAATGCAAATATCCGAATCCTCTAGAAGCGGAGATATAATGTTCGAGAGTAAGGCATTTCCCAGAACAGACTACGACCCCCGTTCTGAGGGGTGGAAAGGTGGCAAAATGCAGTTGATGATTCTTCAAATTACATTGATGGCTATTGTATAGATGACTCGCGAAAAGAGACAATACATACCAGACATTACACTGTCTGATCCAGTATTCTCATAATAAACCATTAAAATCTTGCACTTTTCTTCTACAATTTCATTTCCATTTTGTTTTATGCTGGACTTGACAATGTCCATTCCAGTTGATAAAGAGGAGAGGCAGCGATAAGAAAAAAAAAAAATGGGGAGTCCCTGAACCTGGCTGATGCCAGGTCCGAGAAACCGAGTTTCTCCCCAAGGTCTAGTCCTGGAACCACTGGACAGAAACAGAAGCATCACTGGTCCAAAAGCCATTTACCTCTTGGAAGAAGCCTCCTGACCCCAGCTCAAAAGGATAAAAAAAAGGCTTACCAAGTTCAGGACCGGCTCTCCTTGTCCTAGGTTTGGCACTTCCTGGATGAGGAATTCCAAACCCTTAAAAAAAACGGAACCTGCGCAGCCTAACGCTGACTTCCGAGACACAGCAAATGCTGCTCCTAGGGTCAGTTACCTCCTCCAGGAAGCTCCTTATCCCAGATACAGAAATGTCCGAATCCTCTAGAACGGAGACATAATGTTCCGAGAGTAAGGCATTTCCCAGAACAGACTTCTGACCCCCGTTCTAAAGGGGTAGGGGAAAGGGGGCAAATGCAGTTGATGATTCTTCAAATTACATTGGTAAGTGACTATTGTATAGATGACTGATGAAAAGAGACAATACATACAGACATTACACCAATACAGTACATATTCTCATAATAAACCATTAAAATCTTGCACTTTTCTTCTACAATTTCATTTCCATTTGTTTATGCTGGACTTGACAATGTCCATTCCAGTTGATAAAGGAGGAGGGCAACGATAAGAAAAAAAAATGGGGAGTCCCTGAACCTGGCTGATGCCAGGTCCGAGGGCCAGGGTTCTCCCCCAAGAGGATCCTGAGTCCTGGAACCACTGGACAAACAAGCATGCTGGTCCAAAAGCCAATCACCTCTAGGAAGAAGCCCCCTGACCCCAGCTCAAAAGGATAAAAAAAAGGCTAACCAAGTTCAGGACCGGCTCTCCTTGTCCTAGGTTTGGCACTTCCTGGATGAGGAATTCCAAGCCCTTAAAAAAAAAGGGAACCTGCGCAGCCTAACGCTGACTTCCGAGACACAGCAAATGCTGCTCCTAGGGTCAGTTACCTCCTCCAGGAAGCTCCTTATCCCAGATACAGAAATGTCCGAATCCTCTAGAACGGACATAATGTTCCGAGAGTAAGGCATTTCCCAGAACAGACTTCTGACCCCCGTTCTAAAGGGGTAGGGGAAAGGGGGCAAATGCAGTTGATGATTCTTCAAATTACATTGGTAAGTGACTATTGTATAGATGACTCATGAAAAGAGACAATACATACAGACATTACACCAATACAGTACAGTATTCTCATAATAAACCATTAAAATCTTGCACTTTTCTTCTACAATTTCATTTCCATTTGTTTATGCTGGACTTGACAATGTCCATTCCAGTTGATAAAGGAGGAGGGCAACGATAAGAAAAAAAAATGGGGAGTCCCTGAACCTGGCTGATGCCAGGTCCGAGGGCCAGGGTTCTCCCCCAAGAGGATCCTGACTCCTGGACATGCTGGTCCAAAAGCCATTTACCTCTTGGAAGAAGCCTCCTGACCCCAGCTCAAAAGGATAAAAAAAAGGCTAACCAAGTTCAGGACCGGCTCTCCTTGTCCTAGGTTTGGCACTTCCTGGATGAGGAATTCCAAGCCCTTAAAAAAAAAGGGAACCTGCGCAGCCTAACGCTGACTTCCGAGACACAGCAAATGCTGCTCCTAGGGTCAGTTACCTCCTCCAGGAAGCTCCTTATCCCAGATACAGAAATGTCCGAATCCTCTAGAACGGAGATATAATGTTCCGAGAGTAAGGCATTTCCCAGAACAGACTTCTGACCCCCGTTCTAAAGGGGTGGGGGAAAGGGGGCAAATGCAGTTGATGCTTCTTCAAATTACATTGGTAAGTGACTATTGTATAGATGACTGATGAAAAGAGACAATACATACAGACATTACACCAATACAGTACAGTATTCTCATAATAAACCATTTAAATCTTGCACTTTTCTTCTACAATTTCATTTCCATTTGTTTTTGCTGGACTTGACAATGTCCATCCCAGTTGATAAAGGAGGAGGGCAACGATAAGAAAAAAAAATGGGGAGTCCCTGAACCTGGCTGATGCCAGGTCCGAGGGCCAGGGTTCTCCCCCAAGAGGATCCTGACTCCTGGACATGCTGGTCCAAAAGCCATTTACCTCTTGGAAGAAGCCTCCTGACCGCAGCTCAAAAGGATAAAAAAAAGGCTAACCAAGTTCAGGACCGGCTCTCCTTGTCCTAGGTTTGGCACTTCCTGGATGAGGAATTCCAAACCCTTAAAAAAAACGGAACCTGCGCAGCCTAACGCTGACTTCCGAGACACAGCAAATGCTGCTCCTGGGGTCAGTTACCTCCTCCAGGAAGCTCCTTATCCCAGATACAGAAATGTCCGAATCCTCTAGAACGGAGATATAATGTTCCGAGAGTAAGGCACTTCCCAGAACAGACTTCTGACCCCCATTCTAAAGGGGTGGGGGAAAGGGAGCAAATGCAGTTGATGCTTCTTCAAATTACATTGGTAAGTGACTATTGTATAGATGACTGATGAAAAGAGACAATACATACAGACATTACACCAATACAGTACAGTATTCTCATAATAAACCATTTAAATCTTGCACTTTTCTTCTACAATTTCATTTCCATTTGTTTTTGCTGGACTTGACAATGTTCATTCCAGTTGATAAAGGAGGAGGGCAACGATAAGAAAAAAAAATGGGGAGTCCCTGAACCTGGCTGATGCCAGGTCCGAGGGCCAGGGTTCTCCCCCAAGAGGATCCTGACTCCTGGACATGCTGGTCCAAAAGCCATTTACCTCTTGGAAGAGGCCTCCTGACCCCAGCTCAAAAGGATTAAAAAAAGGCTAACCAAGTTCAGGACCTGCTCTCCTTGTCCTAGGTTTCGCACTTCCTGGATGAGGAATTCCAAACCCTTAAAAAAAACGGAACCTGCGCAGCCTAACGCTGACTTCCGAGACACAGCAAATGCTGCTCCTAGGGTCAGTTACCTCCTCCAGGAAGCTCCTTATCCCAGATACAGAAATGTCCGAATCCTCTAGAACGAATATAATGTTCCGAGAGTAAGGCATTTCCCAGAACAGACTTCTGACCCCCGCTCTAAAGGGGTAGGGGAAAGGGGTTCAGATGCAGTTGATTCCAGTTGATAGATGAAATGCCCTTCATGTTGGGGTCAGCTGCAGTTGATAGATGAAACTATGGTGGTGTCAGATGACTCTCTATGTGGTTGGCTCTGATAAACCTAACCTAGGATGTGGAAGAAACGAAAGAAATAAATCAAGTGCAGATTAAGTAGTACAAATCATTCCTTCACTCATAAAACTTCAGTCTAGTCTACGGTCATCCCTCACTCTTTTTCTGCTTCAGTACAATAAGTCTTACATTCTAGTCAATTTTTCCTCACTTATATATTACTTCAGCAGTTTTAATTCACATCACCAGCCTTTTCTCTTGTTCATATTTCAGTATTGTCTTTAGTTATACATCCAACAGCTTTCCCTCCTTCACTGTAATACTCATCAATCATATCTCTGGCAGTTTCCCTTATCCATTAACTTAGTAAAATACAGCCATTCCTTTCAATCAACTTTAGTAGTCTGAAGTCATACAACCAGCAATCCCTCACTCTGTACTGTACCAGGGAGCTATCTTTCATTGTAATGATCCACGGAAAAGCAAGAATTTTAATCCCTAAAAAATATTATGCATACAGTACAGCATGCCCTTAAAATTCGTGGGGTTTGGGTCTCAAAACAGCCTCATATTGCCAAACCAGCGAATATCATTTGCTGACGAGTTGAAGGGGGGGGGGGGGAAGGTAAATTTTACTTGTGTGCAAATAAATGTATATTCCTTTCATGTGTTTGCCCTTAGGACAATTACAGTGTTTATAAGCTCAAATCTCAGTCATTAATACTGAAGAGATTTAATACTGTACTGATGCTATTCCTGTTAACAACGTATTCATTTTCAGGTGACAAGGTGCTGGTTGCCATAAAAGGTCAAAAGAAGCAAGCGATACTCACCGGTTGTCATCAGAATCAGAAACCACTGATGCCCAAGTTTGATAGTAATAACATCGTTTTAATTGATGAAAGTGGTTCTCCAATTGGTAGCAGGATACTTGTTCCCATTCCAACAATGCTTCGCCACAAACTTACTGATATGTCACGACCTAAGGGGGCAGATTATACGAAAATCTTATCAATTGCAACAAGGTTTGTGTAAAAGAATGTTTATAAAAAATATATTGTATGAATAAATAAGTTTTCATCAATGAAGCTATTAATTTTCCTATTAAAATGTGTACAGTATTCTTATAGAATACAGCCACATTGTAAATGATTCATAGAATAATGCACTAATGTCCATCTGTTCCATACAAAAAATACAATAAGGATACCAGTTGGCACTTGAGATAAAAGTTGTCTATTTAAAGGGAATAATTACTTAAAGGTTAGCAACAATAATCTCTTAAATCAAACCTCGGAAACCCATAGTTGGCAAGTAATTTGGATTGAAAAAAATAATTTAAATCTTCCAAGCATCATTATGACCATTAATTACCCTGCAGTCGAATCGTGGACCATAGATTCAGAATCAGTTTGTTCAGGAGTACCTATACCAAGATTTTCAACAAAATCTATTTTTTGTCTGAAACGGCCAAAATATTAAGCCATATGCCTTGGTAATTTTCCGACCTAATTATACTTCTCTTGGAAATGGAATTTAAATGTTTAACTAATTCAGTACTTACAGAATAACACCACCAAAATGCCAAGAAACATTAACCCTCTCGGCCTCGCACGACACCATAGCGGCGTTGAACATAAAAGGCAAAAAAACTTACACTCAGCCTCATGACACCAATGTGGCGTCCAGTGGGCTATTTTTTCAAATACAGTTGTACCCCACTTAACGCGGTCAATTGAACCCAGAGGGTCCCGCGTTAAGTGAAAACCGCGTTAAGTGAATAACAGAACATATGGGATTAATTCCAATAGAACCCAGCCCGACCCCCAAACTCCACTTTTTGACGACAAATAACTATGTTGTAGTAAAAATAACATCTTAATTTTATGATGGTACATGCACACAATTAATACTTAAGAGAAATAGAGAAATACAGTCGCCAAGTTAATGTCCATTCAAATAATGGACTCAACTCCCTCCCCCTCTTCTCACACTACACTCACTGGCTCTTCCCTCTGAGAAATTTTTGGGGGAAAACCAGGTATAGTAATAAATAATTCCTCAAACTAAAGTTAGGATAATATAATTGACATTGCTGGATTCCTTGTAAGACCAGGAATATTTTGAATATAAATGTCATATATTTTTCACAAAAGATAACATATTTACTCAGAATAAACTTTACATCTAAAATTTGTATGTCTAATGCAAAATCTATGATGTTTATATTCAAAATGATCAGCAAATTGTAAGAATTCCAGCAATGTAAATTATATTCTGGCCGGATAATTTGTATGAATTTTATGAGCTAAAACAAATATCTTCAGTTAATAAAAAAAAAAAATATTCTTCCACACTATCTGTCAATCAAAGTACCCCACCTTGCCTTCCCCCCCTCTTCCAACCGCGTGGTCAGTCCCAACCCTCCCCCCACCCCCCACCAATCCTCCATTCAAGAGTTTTTAACATTTAGTATTAAATAATACCTCAGATTAAAGTTAGGATAATATAATTGACATTGCTGGATTCCTTGTAAGACCAGGAATATTTTGAATATAAATGTCATATATTTTGGACAAAAGATAACATAATTACCTAGAGAACAATTTTTATCTAAAAATTTATGTTTAATGCAAAATATATGTTGTTTATATTCAAAATGATCACCAAATTATAAGAATTCCAGCAATGTAAATTATATTCTGACCGGGTAATTTGTATGAATTTTATGAGCTAAAACAAATATCTTCAGTTAATAAAAAAAAAAATAATTCTTCACTGGGTAACAGATGGTCGGTCGGTCGGTCCCTCCCTCCCCCCCACCCCCCACCAACCGTCCCAAGGAGATGTGTGGGATAACCACTAAATTTTAATAAATAATACCTCAAACTAAAGTTAGGATAATATAATTGACATTGCTGGATTCCTTGTAAGACCAGGAATATTTTGAATATAAATGTCATATATTTTGGACAAAAGATAACATAATTACCTAGAGAACAATTTTTATCTAAAAATTGTATGTTTAATGCAAAATATATGTTGTTTATATTCAAAATGATCACCAAATTATAAGAATTCCAGCAATGTAAATTATATTCTGGCTGGGTAATTTGTATGAATTTTATGAGCTAAAACAGGCAGTCAGGCAGGGTGGCGGGTGGGGGGTGGTGCGAATCTAAAAATAGCTCTCGAGCCGGACACTCACCGCGTATATGATGATATATGATGAAAAATGCCGCGTTAAGTGAAAGTTCAGCTTTGGCAAGGCACCGCGTATATGCGAAAACGCGTTAAGTGAAAGCGCGTTAAGCGGGGTAATACTGTAGCTCAAAAAGTATTCAGTGAAACTGACTTGAACTTTGGATGCCATTTAACAAACGTTTTCTTTGTGTGGGCCTCTTCACCTTCCCAAGACGGTCTTGGTCACCGTGTGGTTTTGCTCTGGCCATTAGAGAGAGAGAAGGGTGCTCTTCTCGGCCCTTTAAATTATTCCATGAGTTTTTGTCATTATTTTCATTATACCACAATATTCTACACTCTTTGTTCTTTAATTTAGTACAGTATATAATCCATATCAATGAAGACCATAATACACATGTACCTCTTCATGCACATATGGACTCACTATCAAGCATAATGTGGATTCTCAGTGTGAAAAACTAATCAATAAATATACACAGTACAGTACCTTCAGTTAAGTTTTCCTTATCATCTTCAAGAAAGTTTTTATTGTCATCAACGGTCAGCAGTAATGAGCCATACTATCCGGTTGTCATCATTCAGGCATTACAGACGCTCAAATCCAATGTTATTAATTTCACCTAACTGACAACACTGGCTCTCCTCGTGATGCTCGGTGTCTGTTCCAATTCTTCATAGTAAATCTGTGAATGTCACTAAAATTGTTTACCAACTGCCACTAGGTTTGCATAAAAGAAATTGTTTTAAAAATGTTTACTATACTGTACATTTTGTACACAATTTACACATTAAATAAATATTTACATCAATTAGATTTCTGTATTTTCATGCAAACATATTAAGTAAAAATCCAATAAATTAACCATGTACTGTACTATACTGTATTGTGATGCAACTGAATCACAATAAGAACCTTCCACAAAGACCTGGGCATAAAAGACTAAAGTATTATTGCTTAAAATTGATTTCTTTGAATGAACTTCAATCGGTCAAATAATGCATAAAATTAATTTGAAAAATTTAACATGAAAAAAGATCTTATTGTAAACACTTTTCATGATTCACAGCACTACACTTTCTTAAGTTGTGTGCAATAATAATGGAAATTTGATAGACTAAAACTATGTAAATATCATAGGTAGATGATATTCTAACATCCCATTTTCAGTCAAGGCATGCTTGTGTACATTCAATGAACCTAACACATATCTAAGAGATCTAAGAGAAAATACACTCTTCTGGCATGTGAAGACACAATAAGAATTCTCTGCTATCTGGATAACCAGTAAATCATTTACCTGTTGCAGTCTTACACTTCACAATACAGTACAGTGCTAAAATCTAATGCAATCTATTTACTGGCACCTCCCAAGAGATTTCAGACAAAAAGACAAATACTGTACTTGTATCTCACCAAGAAGATAATGATGAATCACAAACCTTATTTTGGAAGCACATTACCCATAAGGTCAAAACACACACTTAAGTTTTCAGATCTTGAAGCTCCATTACACTAAGGTCAATAGCCATCCAACCCACGTGCTGGGAACACACAAACAAACATCAATGACATGTTGGACATTGCGTGTAAGGAGAATGGAATGATCTGTATATATGGTATCCTAGAGTCACTACATACTGAGAGTAGAGACATAGACGGTCCCGTGTTTAAATAGAAAACACAACTACTGGAACGCCATCTTGACTCCACCAAGCCCCTCCATTCACGTTAACCTGTAGACTCGCACAGATCATGTTCCTGATTGGAAGTGGACAGTGTGTGTAATGTGTAATGCCGTGCTGCTGTGCCATCGGATGTACTAATAGATCAGAGAAGGAATTTAAACTGTACAGATTTCCTACAAACCCAGAAAGAAGGAAAATATGTGTAAAGAAAGTCAGTCGTCTGGATTTAATATCTGCTCCATCTTCTTATTTGTCAGTTATGTTTTATGGCTGTCTTGTCATACACTAGGTGAGCAGGTTCATTAGGTGAGACGCTCACTCTTATTTTCCACAGAAATCAGTATGAAATATGATAGATACACGAGGAATAAGGACAGATGAAGAATCCGTGTAGCCTATGAATAGTTGAACGGGCAAATTTTAGTCGCTCATGATGCTTTACTTATTTCACTTGTTTTACATAAGCTGTGTCCTTGTGTTATTCAGCCTTCTAATTGTCATAACACTTTGAGGGTGATCAATTTAAGAACAAGCGAGTAGAGGGCAATGGAATCACAAATGACATTGTAGTACTGACTCTCACCGCAGTGTTTCCAAGCATAGGTAATCTCCCGTTATGCGAAACCGCCTTGGTTCTTCTTCAGAAGAACATATGAAAATTTGTTTAATCTGATCACATACTGTGACATGCAACCAAGTGATAAGACATCGAATGTCTAAGTTTCCATTACAATACAGTAGAACGTCTATTTAAAGCAAATTGATTTAAAGCGAAACCCACAATTAAGGACACCGTATCAATCCAAAGCGAATCTTTCCTATTTTACGCAAGTCAAGTCTGCCGCGTCATATGGAAATACACACTATTTTAAGTTTCGTGCCTAATGTTTCCTGCCAGACGTCTATCTGGGCATGCTACAGGGCTGCCCGCCACCCTCACACATCCTCAGTTCTCACGTTGACGCTCTAGTGAACGGACATACTGTATGACACTATCTCCTCCTACCACGTGCATCAACCATCGCCACTACAGATTTCCAAGAGGTCAGCCACTACATCATTAACAACCCCAAAGACCAAGAAATCAAGGCAAGCAATTACACTGGAGCAGAAAAACAAGGTGCTGGAAGCACTGCAGTGAGGAAATGGTGCTTCTGTGGGGCGCCAAATTGGACTGTCGGAGAGCTCTGTTCGCACTATCAAGCTCAACAAGAAAATTAGAGTAGCCTATGCTTCACCCGATGTTGCCAAGGGTAAACTCCACCCGAAGAGTGCTATGTATGTTGAGATGGAAGAAGCACTTAAGTTATGGGTAGATGACACGAAGCGCCAAAAACTTCCTCTCACTGGCCCCATGTTGCAAAACCAAGAATACGAAATACAGTCTCAGATACTTGAAAAGAAAGGGAAGTCCATCAAAGACAGCAAGTTCACAGCAAGTACATAAAGGCTGGCTGTACAAATTTATCAAAAGGACGGGGCTACAGAATGTGGTACTTTCAGGTGAAGCTGAATCTGCCGTCGCGGAGGCGGTTGAGGATATGAAGAAAATTCTGAAGGATATACCTGTAGTGTTAGAAAATGGTTATTCTCCTTGCCAAGTGTGGAATCATGATGCAACTGGGCAGTATTGGAAAAGAATGCCCAAAAAAACCTATCCAATGAAGGGTGAAGAAAAGGCACCGGGGTTCAAGGTCAGCAAGAACAAGACTGACGATTCTCCTCATGGCCAACGCATCAGGCACCACATGAATGAAGCCACTCATCATCCACCACTCAGCTAGACCTCGCGCCTTGAAAAATTTGCTCATCCCGAAACTTCCTGTAATTTGGCGATCAAACAAGAAGGCGTGGATGACTTCTGATATTTTCGATGAGTGGTACATCAGCCATGCCACCCGATTCATTGAAAATAAAAAAAAAAACTGAACCTTAGCACCAAGGCCTTGGTTTTCATGAACAATGCATCTTGCCTCCCCCCCAAACACCTGTGCAGTGTGAATAAGGACATAAACTTGACCACCTTCCCTCCAAATGTGACTTCACTTATTCAGCCACTAGATCAAGGTGTTATTGCCTTGTCCAAGAGATATTATCTCAAGTTTACCATGAAGCAAATAGCTGAAGCTATAATCAAGGGCAACAATATGACTCAAGCACCAGATCTCTCTGGGTTGAAAATCAGACATGTGAGTCTGGTTGTCATCGATATGATTGTTATTTACTGTAAAGTGTTACATGTAAGTAACCACAGAATTTGTCTTATGAATAAAGAGATAACTGTATAGTGTACAGTACGATAAAGATAAAAGTAAGAACAAATAAGTGTAGGAGTATATTGTATGTGGAAGATGAATGTTTATCTGGGAGCAACTGGCAGAGGGGAAGGGAGGGGGGTGGAGCCCAGGTGGGTAATCCCTCCCCCTTTCTCCCCCAAGATTCCTTTAACACTTTTTTTTTATGCAATTCTACCACATTCTACCACAATTCTCATTTTGTGGATTCGGAAAGGGATTTGCACCAGAGCGAATGCATCCCAGCCAGGGGGAAGAGACGCTACAGCGTTGTTTACATTATGAAGGCGCATCAGCTGGGCCCATTAACAGGTGTGTCCCACGTATTTCTAGCTCTGTTAGGGTGTGTTTGATAGGGTGAGCATACTAAGTGTTATATGAAGAATATGATGAACTCATGGAGGTAGTTTGTAAGCCAGAATAAAGCTAATACTAGCTTTGCTCTACAGACATTCACCCTGGAGTGAGTCGACACCAACAGCCACCTCCCTATGTTATGCTGGTGGGTTGGGTTTATTGTGTACTGCTTAGTTCCTACTACTGTGTGGTACCAATATGTGATTATGACAAGAGTTGATGCTTGTTTTGTAAGTACAGTACAATGTATAATAACTAGTTATGTCTGATCTAGGTCCCAGCCTTTCCTTCCTCGGGTGATTTCTAGAGTAAATAAAGGAGAGAAAACTACAAGTGTGTGTCATATCCCTGCTATGCGAGTTCCCTGCTCTGTTCTTGCCACACACACACTACTACAGGTAAAAGAAATAATTGTCCTAAGGGTAAGCACAAAGGGAATATACTGTACATTTCTTTGTACACAAGTAAAAATGTAATTTGCGGATTTGGCGATTCGTGGCCATTTTGAGAACCTAACCCCTGCGAATTTGGGGGGTCCCCTGTTTAGTATCATTTGGTGCCAGGTTGATAAAATATTATGCTAAAAGAATCAACTTTTCTGAAGAAAAAAAAAGAACCCCACACTGAACACCATGAGTCGTTTCTTTACAAAGATCAAACAGCTGATCAGCTTACCGCAACCTCTGTCTTCAAACACAAACTGAAATCCAATGTGGTCAGAGTTGAGCCACTGGAGGATCTTGCTAAGTTTCAGAAAGACCTGGACTTGAAACTAGCATCCAAGCTAATGGCAATATTAATGCCAACCCATTTTGATAAGATGAAGGTATCTAATGCCACACGGGTTTTGAGTCATGACGTTAGTTCTGGTCTTATATATTTGGTTAACAAAGAGGGAAGGAAGGAGGAGTATCTGACCACAGCTTGGCTGATTGAAATACTGAACCTTTGGTTTGAACTTATGACCAGTCGCCATCCTGCAATGGCATTCAGCAGAATGCACCCTAAAAAATATGAAGAAGCTGTAAACTACTTACAAGGAGTGATTCACATCTTCAAAAGTGTGAAGATTGGAAACCCATACAAACAGGAGTAATTATTTCAACATACAATGTTTTGGACATTGCAGAGGAGCTTCTAGATGCTGATCACAAATTCCTTTTCACATCAAGACTGACTCAGGACTGTCTGAAAAATCTGTTCTCGCTTGTATGCCCGAGGAAACCTGTACCATCTCCCCCTAAATTAAAGTATGCATTGAAAATGATAAGTACAGCTCAGTTCCCGACCCTCCCTGCTCGGGCAGTTATGAAAAAAATGAAGGCGAGTTCCTTGCCGACGTTTTAAATAAGGAAGTGATATTTTCACGGGAGCCGTAAGTTAACAAAATCAACTTTTCTTATGACAACGAACATGGACGTGTCGATGGCAGAGAATGATAGCTTGTACAAGTTGATAGGCTATTGTGTTCACAGTATTAAAAACTCTTGAGATTTCCAGGTTTGAGGGATTCCAGCTAATGGAGATATTACTGTAATCAGAAACAAGAAAACATAAATGTATTAAAAATGAGAGAACCCACTCTAAAGCCAACACCATGCTTTGTTATTGAAATTATAACAAAGCACAGAGTTGACTTGAGGGTAGAACTATGACATTTTTGTTGTTCTTGTTTCCAATTTTTTGTGAGAGAATTTTCCCATACAATACAGGTAAAAGAAATAATTGCCCTAAGAACAAACACAAAAGGAATACATACAGTACATTTCATTGTACACGAGCACAAATGTAACCCCCCCCCTCCCCCCCGGTCAGCAAATGTTATTCGCGGCCATTTTGAGAACCTACTGTAACCCCCAAGAATTTTAAGGGCATGCTATATATTGAATCCTACTGAAATTTAAATATGGTCACATAGCCCATGTTCCTAACTTACATTTTACTAACCATTAAGCACAACAAAATCAGAAAATCAGCTATCATGCCAGGATTCAGACATCACACAACACTATCATAATTAAACCCCCGTCTTCTGATTTTCATCCTGCAACTCAAATCTTGCAACTAAAATCAACAGCACCATCTCCAATCTTCTCCATGTTCTATTTCTATCTATGCACCATTATTAATTTACTAAACATTCTTTTTCTTATGCTAGTTACTTTCTCTCTCCTTGATAATAACATCCAACTGATAGAATATTATATTACCTTATAGGATGCCAAGTACAGTTACCCATACTTACCCCCAAATACCGTGGCTGGGATGTTTTGTGTGATGTGGCAACTGTGTGGAATGCTTATGTAGCATCCTTAGGACCATTTTCAGAGCTTTAATACACAGTTGCCTGTTTCTTTGTTTTGCTGGCCGTCAACTACGGCAGTTATTACGGCCATTTCACAGTTGCCACATTTCATAATACACCAGCCACTGTGCTGTATTGGGTGTCAGTGGAAAGCAACGATAAAATTATTATCTTTTATACCCAGTTGGTCTTTTATCAGTGGTAGGTTCTGAAATACTGGTATCTAAAGTGCTGTTGGCTGATGTTTACAACCTTCCTGCATGAAAATCTTCCCAAGTACCTCCAAACTTGTAACTACTGAAGACTTCATGGAATAATGAATGACAGTTTACAACCCCGTCTAACTTGGAGCAAAGAAGAAAAACACCTGACATTTTTCGATGGAGCGAATATGATTCTTCAGGGGGGGCACACATGCGATGAGATAGCATGACAGGAACAAGGTGCTGTATTCTGTAGGTGGTGTCCTGATTTCCAAAGTGGAATGGTTTATCTTCTTGGAATGCTTCACCCAGGATCATGATAGCATCCACATGAGCTTCCTCCATTACCTGTGGGAGATGAATGATAAAAAATATAGCACCAGAAACATTGGGTAAACCCCCCATCCACACATTTCAGTAAAACCTTGATAAATCGAACTTCAATATACTGTGACGGAATTCGCTTTTATTCGGACACTTGAGATGCTCTGGTCACCAGAAATACTTTAGAAAGAAAGGGGGGGGGAATAAAAAAAATCTCATGAAATGGACAATATTGTACAGTGGTCTAATCAGATTTGCTATAGGCCTACTGAGAACCAAGACATTTGAGTATGTAAGCAGGTTGGGGCTGATCAAGCTTTGCCGCATTCATCAGGTTTATTTATTTATTTATTCAGTAAACCCCCCCCCCCCCCAGTTCATGGATTTTTATTTTGCGCTCCTCTATTTTTTGCGGATGACATCCTGGATGTACCCAAGAATGTCTGTGGGTAGTTTTTAAGTTGCCGGCATTTTCGCGGTTGGGACAGGGAGCCATTCGTTCTAGAGACAGTAATTTCCTCTACTTGTATTGTAAATATGTGTGTGTGTGTGTCGACACACACACAAAACTTATACAAATAAATAATAATTGGAAAATCCCCTCACAAATAGTAAAACATATTCATTAAAAATAAGTCTACCCTCAAGTACGTGCTTTATTAATAAAGTAATAAAGCACAGACTTGAGGGTAGACTCACATTTTTAATGAATTTGTTTGATTACTTGTGAGGAGATTTTCCAATTATTATTTATTTGTATGTGCGTCTACATAAACATACAGTTACAAATATACAATACAGGTAAAAAATAATTGTCCTATGGGCAAACATATAAAGGGAATACACATTTCTTTGTACACAGGTACTGTACAAATGTACCCCCCCTCCCCCCCCGTCCGCAAATGTTATTCACGTATTTGGCGATTCGCTGCTGTTTTGAGCACCTAACCCCGCAAATTTGGGAGCTCCCTGTTTTATATTCTCATATGATTGGCCTCTTATGGTTTATGGTTCATCATGATCAATATAACATCTTCAGTAATAGAGAAAAAATACAATAATATACCTAATTTGGAAAATGACTTGAAACAAAAAAAGGATAAGCTGTATCAGAAGGTTATTTATTCACGATGCGTTCGTGTGAGAGCTTTCTGCAAACCAGCTTACAACAGGGATCACTATAACACACTGTATAGTATTTGATATGAAGATACCTTTCTAAAAATTTTATTTACAACTGATTAATGAATAAACCAGGGTATATGTATATGCATAAAACTGTACACTACAATATTACTTAAGTGATGGTAAATACACAATAGTATTTATTATATGGTGATAAATACACTGCAATAGTATTTATTAAGTGATGAAAAAATAAACAACTGTACTGTACTAATTTACTAAGTGTTAAAGACAGACATTGTGGTAAGCCAATCAGATGTTTGCTCTTTGTAAACAAATGAGTATGAAATGATTTCAGTTCAGTGTAGGATTCTTTTTTCAGGAAAGCTGATTCTTTAAGGATAATATTTTATCAACCTGGCACCAAATTATCCAAAATTATATGAGAATTGTGGTGAAATTGCATAAAAAAGTGTTAAAGGAATCTTGAGGGAGAGAGGGGGAAGGATTACCCACCTGGGCTCCACCCCCCTCCCTTCCCCTCTACCAGCTGCTCCCAGATAAACATTCGTTTTCCACATACAATATACTCCTACACTTATTTGTTCTTATTTTTATCTTTATAGTACTGTACACTATACAGTTTTCTCTGTATTCATATGAGAAATTCTGTGGTTACTTACATATAACACTTTACAGTAGCTAACAATCATCTCGGTGACAACCAGACTTACATGTCTGATTTTCAACCCAGAGAGATCCATTTCATATTTTTTTTATTGTTGCTGTAATATTTTCTAATAACCTTGTTACACACTTAAAAGACCTAAGTTTTTGAATTGCAGTAATAACATAGCATCAACTGATTTTCTTTAAACAGTTCAGATAAACAGTGTTATCTCCAACTGGGGTCTGCCCTAATTAGTCCGATTTATCAAGGTTCTACTGTACATGTATACTCATAGTATTCAACAGAAACAAATAGCTTGTGTATCCCTACTCTTACCTTAGCCTCATACCCTGTGAGGAAACCAAGGTCCTGGGAGTACTTGAGAACTTTATCGCGATCTTTTATGGCTGCACCATGGATTAGATGGATATACTTGTCGACAAAGTCTTTGCTGTATTCCCGACACGCACCAAAGTCCAAAAGCGCCATCTGAGTAAAAATAATTTATATGGTAAGACATACACTATGTATCTAACTCATTAACTTGTAAGATGTAACACCTCACACAAAACATCACTGTCAGCAACAAATATATGCTTGATTTTACCAACACAATTAAACTCTGACAGACTTTTCTCGTTTTTCTTTAGAGTACACTACTGACAGTGACCTATTGCTGGCACTATTAAAAACCAACTAAAACTAATAGTTCTCCAGTTCCCTAAGATTGCTACCATGATAATGAAAAATGTATAATATTGCCTACAGGAGGTCCCCAACTTACAAACGCCCGCCAATACGAGAGGGGTAAATCTTGAAATTTAAAGTATTTTTTACTTTTATGTATTGTATTTTGTCATTGTATTTCTCCTTTTGTCTTAAATTAAGTGATTTTAGATGTACAGGTTGTACCTCTCTAGTCCGGCAACCTTGGGACCTGACCGGTGACGGACCATGGAAATTCACCCTTTTCCAGGATAGATAGTGACTTGCGCTTACGCTTGAAAGCACTAGCACCACTTTCACTGCTTTGTGGTCTCTTTGAAGATATATTGAAGGGTTAAATGTTGTACAGTAGGTTCTCAAATTTTGTGAGTTTTTAATTCAACGTTTTTTAATTGGAAAAAGAAAAAAAACTACGCAATTTAAAATTTTGAAGGCGGGAACTCGAATTTCGACAGGTTTGAGTGGCCCGCCAACGTTCAGACGTGCACAAATTGTGTAAACAGTGTCATTTCTCTTTTGTACAAAAGATTCATTATTGTGTATTACTGAATGTGTTTTTGATTTAACTAATTTTTATGTGTGCAAAATGAACAATACAATTCATTAATAATATGTAGAATATTAAAACACACAGGGAAACGAGACGTCATTGTTTTCGTTGATTACAAAACCAGTGACTGACTGGATCTATATATAAAACTGAAGAAAATAAGACCCTAGTTGTAGCTGTTGTAAAATTAGTGTAAAAAATTTATATGGTTGTTATAAGTAATGTTATTTAATGTTAATAATTGTTAAAATATAAGTAGCTAACCATTAATGGTTAAGAAAAAAAAGAGCTCACGTATGTAAGTGAGCACATGTGAAAACATATCGTCATTACTATACCTAAGAATATGAAAGCAACACTTATTTACTGTTCATATATGTTTTAATTAATGTTTCTGAATTTAAAACAAAAATTCTACCCACCAGTGGTGGTAAAGTTGAAAACATAAGGACAGCCAATGTTGTTGTGTGTGTTTTTACTCGGATGAAGTATGCTCAACTCTAGCTGAAGCTGTAGAACGTAAGAACTTTTCTGTGTTGTTTTTAGTTTTTATTTAATTTTATGTGTTATTTTCGTTGGCTTATTAGGATGTTGCTTTATTAAAGGTAGTAATTCGCCAAAAAAGTAGGATAAATAAGGCAAAATTTAGCCAAACATCGAAAGTACCGTACCAGACTCAAATTAATTTTCTCCATAGTCAAACTAAAATCGTTCCGGACCACAAAATGCCGGACTAGAGAGGTACAACCTGTATATTGTATAAGGACTTGGGCTACGATATAGTGGGATTTTAAACATTGTTCTGTAAGAACTGTACAGTATGCACATAGCAGGTGTTCTGACTTACGTACAAATCAAACTTAAGAACGTCCTCAGGAACTGAACCTGTTTGTAATCCAGGGACCCCCTGTATAACATGATTCTGGTAGCTTATCCATCCAAGTATATATTTTGGACACCATGAGTGCTCATCCCTGAACTTATGAAAATAATCTGACCAAACTTTAAAATATGGTTCCAAGATTGTTTAATTAATCATGAAACAACATTTTCACAGGTATTTTACAGTTTGCCCGATTTGAAAAAAATATATATATATATACATATATATATATATATATATATATATATATATATATATATATATATATATATATATATATATATATATATATATATATATATATATATATATATATATATATATATATATATATATATATATATATATATATATATATATATATATATATATATATATATATATATATATATATATATATATATATATATATATATATATATATATATATATATATATATATTTTTTTTCTGTTCCACGATCTCTCTCTCAAGTTGTTGAAATGAAATATTTCATACAAATGGATGGACAAACAGACAGATGTAATATTACATGCCCCCAAATAAAAATAGTTCGAACATCACTAGACCAAGAAGTACACACCTGTTCTGTCTCAGTGTTATAGAAGAAGTTGGACCAGTTTGGGTCAGTCTGCATGAAGCCAAATTGAAAGAGTTCCAAAAGACAGAGATGGAGGATCTTCTCACTTATAAAATTACGAGTTTCCTGATCCATATCAACACATTTGTCCACGGGGATGCCAGCAATCAGTTCCGAGGTGAATATCTGCAAAAGAAATAACAAAACAATAATGATAAAACATTCAAGGTTTCCACAAAGTAAAAAGGTTAGAATTTCCTTAACAAAGCAATAAAAATGATACTTTACAAGTTAAATACAATGTTTTAGTAACAGTATTCAGCAACTTCCCAAATACTCTCAAAAATTTTGCTTTCTTTCATCTCTTTCCACTACCTTCTACAGTTCCACTTGAGTAATACAGTATACTGCATTTACTATAGCATCAATATCATATCCACATACACTAATACCATTTACTTCTCTTCAACATAGATGCTAAGCCTATAACATCAAGGTGTACAAATGGTCACAAACTAATATCTGGGGAAAATTTTTTTTGTGTTAGACTGAAATTGATTCTCAAAGGCTCTTCTGTTAAAACTTCTCCACAATTGGTGATATAATGTATCTAACAGGCTCACCCTTTTGTTTTAACCACATTAATTCGAAATTTGAAAAAACAAGTGTTTAATTTTCTAGAATGAAGACTTTACACCTGCTACCCACATTTGAAAAATAAATAATATAATAATAATAATGTATTAATGAATATCAAATAACATGTTATCACTAACACACTAAGACAGTGTTATTTTTTGGGTACCAACAAACAGATGACTTTAACAACTGCACTCCTAAACACAACATCTAAATATACCTACAGACCGCCTTAACACTTTAAAACCAATAATAAAACAATAACTTACTTGGGGTGTGCAGAGTTCAGAGATCACTTCAGGTACGTAATAATCGGAATATGTCTCGACCAATTCACTAAACCTCCGAGTACACTCGGCCTCGCGTATGTAATCACACTCCCACCCTAACTCCTTCTTGGCTACTTCAACGATAGAGTCCACAAAGAGACCTGAAATTACAAGTTTGTGGAGATAGAGGATGTAAACCAGTTGTTCTTAACCTTTTCTTACATGTCTTAACACCAAGGAGCTGAGTGGAAAGAATCAACAACAACAAAGACATTTCTCATGTGTAAAAAACCTTCAATTCTATAAGCTGCTCATCTCCATATGTTCTACTGCAAACAAAAACATAACCATGAAATCTAATTGGGTACAAATTCTTACAAGTTTTCTCTAAGTAAAAAAGTTTTCATCTGTACCAAATACTGGAACCAGGCCAGACACATTCATCTATAATCCAGTGTAATAAAACACTGGACATACCTATGTTACCGCAAGCAGCAATGAGTAGGATGACACATCTACAAACATTATGTTAGGCGGTAAGTCATGTTATGTTTATTGGGTGTGCCTGCCCGTATACAGTATGTAGAGTACAGAGATGGCGGAGATGAGAGGCCCAGAAGGAGGTTGGGGTGTGTGAAGGGAGTTTGTTTATGTATAATTATAATCACCTGACTCAGCCACAGCCGACCAGCCAGGGTGGGCGAGGCTATCGGGTGGGCATTTCAGTATAGCTACCCATATCTTAGAGGCAACACCTAACCTGGTTTCTCTCTAGACTTTCAACACGTAAGTTTAACTAGTACTTATTGTGTACACAGGTAGACTGTGTCCATTGCATCATTTATCAGTGTGACAATATAGAAATATGGCAAATTGAGTGCTCATTGTAAGTGTTAAAGATTAGACTACTTACATAGCCATGATTGTTATGTAAATATATATTGGATTAAACATTTATGTAGGAGTGCCTATGTATGACTTATTTGAAATACTAAATGAATTGTATTCAACAGGTTTGATCGAATTATAATGTTCGTGTACAACGTCACAAGTCTTATTCATCCTTTAACTATACCTAAGTATCCCTTCAATAAATCTTGCTACACCAGAGATCACAGTTCTTCCCTCCCAGTGATCTCTTGAAAGCTCTAAACTGCCAACCTTTCTCTACATTCTAATCTCTCTCCCTTTCACCTTGTTGAAAATAATACCGCTAGTTATAATTTTCTTAGGACTCCACCTCCTGTCAACTTGTGGTATTTTGCCTCACCTTCTACAAAGCAACAATCGTTCTTTTATATAACTGATATTCTCTCTATTTACCCAAGTCTCCCTACAATTTAACTTTAACAAGACCCCCAAAAAATACATACTGGTAACTGGTATTTTGTATTCCATCAACTCTATCAGGGTGTCTACTGGCCAGACAAAACAAAATTTCCTGGCTTTTTCCAGGCTTTCCAGGTGTAATTTTGAAAAATTCTAAATACATTAATTCAGTAATTATTACAACAGAATAACAAAATTAGAGGTTTTCAATAATATGTACTGTATATACTATTGGGAAATTTAAAGATAAAAATTATATTAATCAAGAAATTGAAGACCCTATAGTGACCCACCCCAAGCCTCGGATTTGTGTGATTCACGTGGGTCGACCTGGACGTTCAAAAAAAAAAAAAAACGGAAATCCGTCAAAAAACAACGAATCATACTCCTCATCCACCTATGACTCATGATTAAAATGTGGAATAATCCACTTAATTAAAGTCACTTAATTATAAGAACAATTCATCTCCGACAATACTCATTACAGAATTATTAGGTATAACCTGTAATATTTGGTTATTTTGATCACTAACATGAAATATGATACTGTAGGTACACAAATAATTCAGTTACTGGAGTCGACTATTACTGGAATTTGTTCCCAAAAGTTTAATTATTTACCTATTATATAGGACATCATTAATTTATGGTAATATTGATGTCAAAATAACAATATTTTTAAGTTGTAAAATTCCCTGACTTTTCCGTGTTTTCCAGACCAGTAGACACCCAGTCTATGTATGCATGAAATCTTCAGTCCAGACACACCAACTCAATTTATCATGAACTAATTTTAACAAAGAGGTAGCAAGTAAATTATCTGGTCAACATATACAGTACCCATAATGAAATTAATGACTTCCTTTCAAGGTGTTGGAGGAGCAGGAGGTATATAGGAGCTAAGAACACATTGGAATTTAAATTTATCACTGCAATGTTAATAAATATCACAAAATACTTAATACTATACTGTGCAGGAGTATATTTTCAGCCACCAGCTGCAACTCTATTAATAAACCGTTTATTATTATTATTATTATTATTACACTTCCCATGACGCAGTACAAAGAGCTGAGCTAATGGATATTAACGTATAGGTAAACACTTAATAATACATGTTACTACTCACCTTCAGGGAGAATATTTGCAACTTTTAGACTAGATATCAAGTTGCTGATATCACTTTCAATTCCTTGTGCTACTCCCGGATACTGGATCTTCATGGCTACTGAACGGCCATCATGGAGGTTTGCTAAATGAACCTGACCGATAGAAGCAGCAGCGAATGGTTTATCATCAAAAGAGGCGACCTTACTCCTCCAGCCTGCACCCAGTTGACTTTCAATGGCTCTCTGTTAATAGACAAAGTGTAAATCAAACAAAACATCAGGTACACAAATAATACTATATTCTTTTCTTGATTTTTGTCCTAAAGTACTTCAAATTACACGCTCATTCACACTTTATTCATACCGCTAAATTCTAAACTCTTAGACAGTAGGACTAAATTTGTAAGCTCTAATATATTATACATTAAATCTTTAAGCTCAAAGACAGTATATACTGTACATTTTGAACTATGACAGTATACATGGTAGGGACACACACTTCCTTCACTGTTAACCATACAATCTTACTGCTGTAACACACAGAGCCGACACTCACCTCTAATTGCCACATTGGCATAAAATCCGCACTCTGGCGTACACGTTCAAAAATCTTCTGTATTTGTGGGTTAAGCATTGCACTGTCTTGGATACTTAACATCTGACCCAGCTTCAAGGCAGCTCCTGGGTGTACAGAGAAGCTTGTGTGAATATTACCATAACTATCACAGGGATTTGGGCAGCCTTCCTCATTTTCATCTATGATCAACCTCAAAATGCTCATTAACAAATTGTAATGTGATTTACCAAGTCATCCCAAATAAAAAATACTGTAGTGTTAATACAAGGAAAAATACTTTACATTCAGTCGATCAAATATGTGGCATCCAAGTGCACTATGACGCTCTTACCTCTTACTCTACAAAGTGTGTCCACTATTCTCTTCGCATTTGCTTCCGTCAAGAATGGCGATCCATCCAACAAAGATCCAGCACCACTTTCCTGTTTCAAACCCAGGGTGCGGCGGGTCATTTCTGCAATAGTTCCTGCTCCTAAACCTGCAGCTAAGCCACCAAAAGACATTAGGCGTCCTACCCTGGAGTGAGGCACTTTTCTTGCTTGTGCATTGTCTGACAGCTGAAAAAATTGATAAAAATTTGATCATTATTTACAATTATTTTGCTACACAAACTTATCTTGATGACAAAGAAGTCAGGTACAATATACAGCAAAGGGATAAATAGTTTTTAAAGAATCACAAAAACTACTAAAATGTACATTAAAAACACAGTAATCATAACAACAAATAAATTAGGTGCCCGTATATTAATTCATATCTAAAACTGTAGTAGGCAAAACATTACTTACTGTTGACTTTGGCTTTTCCTTTGCCAATGGTTTTCTTCCCAGAAGTTTTGGCATGGGTTTGGCAGGAGCTACTTTTCTTTTTTGTTTATTTGGCATATTATCATTACTTGAAACCGGTCTAGTAGCAGCAGCAGTAGTTGCAGCAGCAGTGGCTGCAGTCACAGGTTCAGAAAGAACAGGGGAATCATTTGCAGAAGCATTACTATCCACTTGGACCTTACTATCTAAATCATGCTTTGAGATAGTAGCAACAGTAGCTGTTGCAGTGGCAGCTACTCCAGCAATTACAGCTCCAGTGGTAGCAGCAGCAGCTCCAATGGTAGTAGTTCCAGCAGCAGTTCCCAAAACAACAGCAGCTACACCTACACCACCAGGGGTTGGAGGTGATACATCGTGCAATAATGTGTTAACAGTACTTGTGACATTATGAGTTTGTAGAGACTCAATGTTTGCAGTACCTTTAGTTGCATCTGAGACATGAGGTGATGACCCTAACTTTAAAGATGATATGTTAGACGTGCTTGTAACACTTTCTGTCTGTGGTGGATCTACGTTTGAGTTTGCTTTAAGCTCACCATCAACAGTCGTAGCTGCTGCATCTGAAATACTCGAGGTATCTGCAACTGTTGGTGGTACAATGTCAGTATCAATTCCTGCTTCTGCTGGCTCAACCTTAATGCCCACTTGAACAGCAACAGCTGTATCAGGTATTACATTCGAGGAGTGTGAGGTTCTTGTGTCAATTTGTAGTTGTGCTGCCTTAACTTCTTGTTCCACTGGCACCTCTACATCAGCAGTACCTGATACACTGTTTACAGTTGATTCATCTGGGGATAATGTACCTGAAGTGACAGTCACACTTTCAGTCTGTGATGACTCGGCTTTAGGGTCTATTTCAACTTCGGCAACACGTTCAGTCGTTGATTTTGGTGAACTTGAAGCACTTGTAACATCTGCCCGAGATGAATGAATGTCAAGATCTACATCAACAGTTCCAGTAACTGGATCAGGATTTGTGGCACTTGAAAAATTTTCTACTTGTGGCTGCTCAACTTTGGGGTCACTCTGAACCTCAACATTAGGAGCAGCAGCAGTACTAGCAACATGAACCTCAGACACCCTATCAAAGAGAATTTCTGGTGGTATGTCTGATGATGTGATACTGGCAGTATCTATAGTACTTTCTGTATGTGAAAAATGTGCTTTAGGATCTACTTGTGTGTGGATTTCAACTTCAGCAACAGAAGAATTACCAGAGATAACACCTGCAGTTGGCACAGTACTAAATACAGAGCTTCCAATGTCTGAGATCTCTTCACTTGGTGTCACCTCTACCTGGGGGTCTGCATGAAGCTCCACATCAAACTCGTGGACAGCAGATGTGCTTGATTCTTCAAGGTTGACAATCTTCACCACCTGTGATAGAGAGCTGTCCAAGTCTGCATTGGCATCACTACCCCAACCCACTCTCTCTTGTGAGTGACTCACTGCCGATATTACATGGTCCTTCAATACTGTTTCTTCATTCAGGCTTTGTAATTCCTCTTTAAAATCTGGTATGGTCTCCTGCGAGCAACTTCCTGCTTTTACATTATCTTCTCTGGCAACTTGCTCTTTAATAATATCCTGTATGGTATCTTCTAAAGGTTTACTATGTTCCACCTCCTTAAATATTTTCAAGTTATGCCCAAAAGCAATGTCGTGAAGTTCAGACAACTTCTCATCAAGAGCTTGAAGATGTTCCTCTGTAATTTCTCTTTCTTCAATATTTGATATATCAAGAAGAGGTGCAAATTGTTCTACTCTCTTTTGACTCTCTTCTTTCATTTCTTTGGCATTTTCCACTGCATCCTGAATATGGTTGAGGGCATTTCTTAACTGATTATCACTACTAAGGGAAGAGTCACCCATTGTCTGGTTACTGTGACCACTCAGAGCTTCATGCATAATGACTTCCTCAACACTTAGCTCTAGTAAACTGGGGTCAGATGCTGGGTCTTTCATCTCAGCATTTTCCGAGATATTGGCTTGTTGTACCACCTGTTCCGTTCCATCTTCTGAATAACTTGTGGCCTGTCTATTAATTTCCGTGACAGTTATTTGTTCTTTAACTATATCTTCCACAACTTCTTTTAAAGGCTTAGAATGCTCCACTTCTTTGAATATTTTTAAATTATGTCCAAAAGCAACATCTTTAAGTTCACTTAATTCTTCATCTAAAGCTTGAAGGTGTTCCTCTGTTATATCTCTCTCCTCAACTTCTGCTACATCAAGAAGAGATTCAAACTGTTCCAATCTTTGACTAATTCCTTCTCGTGTTCCTTTGACATTTTCCACAAGAGTGTCAGTAGCTTCCCGGACACCACCGAGAGCACCGGTGAATTCACTATCACCTGGTGTTTGGTCAATGTGTCCATCCATAGCTTCATGCATCATTATCTCTTCAATGTTCAGTTCTTTCACATTAGGATCAAACATTGGATCATACTCAACAGCCTCTTCAGACTTGGTGGTATATCCTGTAAAGAACAATGAAGAAAATAAAATTAATTCTAAGTTAACTATTTCAAAACTATTCTATATAGTTGTACATCCAATTACATTTAAACTACAAAGTACAAGTACTTGTATTCTTAAAATAATATTAACTAAGTATCTAATTATAACTGAGCCTATTTTCTGATAAACCAAACCAGTTATCAATGATGCCACTTAAGGGAATTCAAACAACCATTCTTACCTGCAACAGCCACAGTATCACTTTTATACGCTTTGATACCCTCCGTAACCATGGATATACGTGCCAGGGTTTCAGCTGCGCTCTTCGACACATCTTTCTGAAGATTGAAGACATATCAGGGTGATGGAGGCACAAGATTGTAATATATTACTAAAAAACACTGGCTACTTGTGTCAACTCCTCTGTGATGATCAAAATACTTCTTGGCAAATTGTTAGAACACCTAGATATTGTTTTGAATGAAATTAAAAAAATTCTCCACGAAAATTAAACACTCCACTATCCTAATTTCAATGGCATTAACCCCTCAGTGGTTAAATCAAGTCAAAATGAATATTTTTCAAAAAGGGTGTTCTTTAATGCACATAATTACCAACTGCATTTATTGTACCCCATGTACTTTATTTATGTAAGCACAGTACTTGAATAAACTGTAAAATAGGCATTCTAAAGAAAATAAATAATTTAAATACTGATATTATCAATACTGTACTAAATGTTATAAGAACTATCAGTCAATTAAATATGCAAAGACACATCAAATAAATACTGTAGAGAACATTTAAATATCACACGCACACAGGTGGATCTTAAATATATTTCCAACTTTACTACAATAGAGGTTTTTTTAAATTGAATGCAATTAAAGACCTGGATCCAACTCTCAATCAATTTTTTCACGAGAGCAGAGTACAGTACAGGAAAGCCTCCGATAACGATGCTTCTACTAACGACAATTTATATCTAAAACCCTGGTTAATTTAGCACCCAATCCAATCTACACCGGTATTTATGACAAAAATAGAATAAAAAATAAAATTAATTTTCATTTAAATATAAAATAAAATTACATTTTCATAAAAATATAATAACTAAATCCAGATATGTATTACACACACACACACGACGTTGTCCCACCCCCTTCCAATACTTTAGGTCCCAACACACTCCAGGTTGTAGATTCCACTAAGCTCCTCGGCGTCACTATAGACAACAAACTAAATTGGAAACCACACGTCAGTGAAGTTGTCACATCTTCCAGTTTCCACCTCCTCCGCCGACTCAAGTCCCTCGGAGTTCCTGCACCCGAGCTCCTCAGTGTTTACTCAACATTCATACTTCCCAAGCTCACCTATGCCTCCCCTACCTAGTCTTCCTCCCTAAATGCCACACAACGTAAACACCTAAAAAGTGCAAAAGAGGGCATGCATGATTATTCTCTCCCCTTCCTACTCCACATATCAAGAAGCGCTCAACACACTGACCCTTTCGACTCTCACTGACCATCACCACGACCTCATCTGCACCATCCTCGACACCAGCTCCTACTACCACCTGAGATCCCTAGCCCGAGAATTGCTGTTCGACACCACAACCACATCCATCCCATACGAGCACGAACTGATCGCTATAAGAACAGCCTAGTCCCAACCATTGTAAAAATTATCAATAACTTGTAATAAACCAGTGTATTCACTCCCAGTAAATCCTACTTTCTGCACTGTTACTATGTTGAAATATCTTATTTGTATTACTTATGTTACTTGTATATTATTTGTAAATCAAAACCCATTCCCCAATTGTGTAACTGTATATTTTCAACCTTCTGGCTGCTATGCTCTTTCAATAAACCATTTATTATTATTATTATTATTACACACACACACACAAAACAAAACAAAAAAAACACGCTTTGCACACGGAGGCTGCCGAGCTTGTAAGTGGTAACGCCAGCATCACTAGTATAAACAGTTGCAGCTTGGCGGGCCTTTTTTTTTATGCATCTGAACAGGAAAAGGAGAAAAACATTCTCAGAATTCTTAAGCATATTTGTGTCCCTATTCAACACGAGCAAGAGAGCAGGTGATGGTAGTGTTGGTTCAAAAGCTAAAAGAAGAGTTTAAGCTCAACTGAGAAACTCGATGTGTTAAAACGATATGAAAAAGGTAAGAGAACTGTGGATACTGGAGCAAGCAATGAACATGTTTTCTGAAGTGGATCTATGAACAGAACAAAGCATTAAAATTAACAGGGACATGAAAAATGCATATGACCTCTACAAAGTGTACAAAGAAAATAGTGAAGACATTGATAAGAAAATTGAAAGGAAGGTTAATGATAAGGCATTAAAAAGAGAGACTTAAGCCTATTGCTGTGGCATTGGACTGTGTCCAGAGAGAACATACCCTATTAAGTGATGCTGTAGAAATCTGGGTAAAACTGAAAACTGATATTAAGGAGTATTTAACAGATAAGAAGGATATGGATAATTTTGAAAAAATGAATCAAAGTAGCATTGACACCTGCCCATTTTCTAGCTAATGTGATATATCCAAGGTATTAGGGCAGACATCTGACTCCTGAGCAGCGAGACATTGCAGAACAGTATGTGTGCGAGTCTCTTCCACATTTCCTTTCAACATTAATGTCCTTCCATGGAAGAAGTGCACCATTTAAAGAGGTCTATTTTGGTAAAGATGTTGTAAAATCTCTCACCCCTTGCTTGGTGGCAGTATTTTGCCAATGATATGACAGAAAATGTATTGATGTTCCTAGGCAATTATTTACAGCTGTTGCATCATCAGCAGGGGTCGAGAGAATTTTTTCCACATTTGGATTTGTACACTCAAAGGTAAGAAATCGCCCAGGACAGGAAAAGGCATCTAAGCTTGTCACAGTACATAAGCATTTCAATGTTCAACTAAGCTAATTTAAATGTTTTAAACTATTTTTGTTGTTTACAGAATGAGAATATTGTGTTGACTTGAAGTTATTACTGGTAATTCTTAATACACTATAATCCTACAAATGTAAGAAAATAAACTTGTTACCAGTATTATATTTTTTACAAAATGAGAATATTATTCTGTTGACTTGAAGAAGTTAAGTTATTAATTTTTGAAACGCTGTAATCCTACAAGAGCATTTATGTTAAATTTTATTATTACGTTTGGATTTGTGCACTCAAATTTAAGATATGTTACCAGTTTTCTTTTATTTTAAAAACGAATATTATTGTGTTAAATTCCATTGGTACATCTGCATAAATATCTTAATGCCAATTTTCTGTTTATTATCCTGAATAAGTTTTGGTTGAAAAATACTGTTTTTATGGTTTAAAAAAACTATTTTAATGCAATTAGTAAAATAAATTTTTATATAAATAAAAAAATTCGATTTAAATCAAATAAATCGATTTTTTATTTATTTTTTAAAAAATCAGGATTTTTTCCAACCCTGTATTATTTATATTGTATTAGGTGAATTCTTAAACATTATTTAAAGAAAGTTTGCATTTTTCATTAATTTTATTGTTTGGGGGAAAAGAAAGTGAAAAGCCACACAAAAGATATGAAAAGGTCAGACTTTGGAATGCATCTCATTATTATTACTTTATTTTAATGGTAATTAATGATTCACGATACAATGATTCACCTTACAGTGCAATATTGGAGGACACATTACTGTTGTTAATCGAGGTTTTACTGTACAGTATAACCTAACCAAAAATTCATTACAGCCATCCTCCCAAGTTCACGGATATTTATTTTGCGGTCCCCCATTGTTCGCGGATGACACCCTGGATGTACCCAAGAATGTCTAAGGGTAGTTTTAAAGTTGCTGGCATTTTTGCGGCTGGGACAGAGCCATTCGTTCTAGAAAGTAATTTCTTTTGCCAGCATTGTATATACGAGCATGCATGTGTGAAGACACACACGCATAAAAGACATACAATTAAATAATAATTGGAAAATCCTCTCTCAAATAATCAGAAACAAATTTATTAAAAATGTGAGTCTACCCTCAATTCCGTGCTTTATTAATAATTTGTTTCCGATTATTTGTTTGAGTATTTTCCCATCAATATTTATCTGTATGTGTTTTGTGTGTGTCCACACACACACACACACACACACACACACACACACACACACACACACACACACAAAATACAGGTAAAAGAGATAAGTGTTCTAAGGGCAAACACATAAAGGGAATATAAATTTCAATTTCTTTGTACACAAGTAAAAATGCCCCCCCACCCCCCGCAAATATTATTCACGGATTTGGTGATTCGCAGCCAGTTTGAGAACCTAACCCCCACGAATTAGGGGGGCCCCTGTACAGTACAGTAATAACCTTGAAAATTTGTGGTTGCTGTAGTGCCTTTGTGATGGTATCTTGTAGGCCAGTACTCCCTTGCAAGATTAGGGGACGGAGTGATGAAGTGGCCCACGCCTTGCTCGCCTCCTGTGACCGGACATCCACCAAGGCTGACCCAACACGTGACAGACCTCGCAGCACTGTCAGCAGGTCATTCCCACGTGGTGGCTTGGCCATTGTTCTGCAAGAGACAAAACACAAGAACTGTAATACAATAAAATCTACTTTTCACCAAAATGGCTTGATCTTCTTTAAACAATGAAACTCACCAATAATTATCATCAGTACAAATAATTCAACCGAGCACAAACACACATATTATCACTGGCAAATCAAAGGGAACCGTGGCATCCCTTTGTTTTGATGATTACCATGCACCCATTGTAACTTAACCCTTCGACTCTTAAGAATGACCCACCATCACCACCACACTCGCAACACCCACCACTCACAACACTTAGGTAGTAGGCAGCTACCAAACAGGGAGGTACTACCGCCTGGGAAGATATTGGAAGCATAATGTGCTGTCTATGGTAGATCTTGCTGCCACATGGCATCACGAAAATTGTGACCAAGTCCCAGGTTGCTGATCTGACTTTCTGCCTCATTTACACACAATTGCAGGGTCTTAAATTGTTTCTCTTACTATTGACAACACAACATACATATAATGTTCCTCACTTTTTAATTTTTTTTCCATTTTGTACTTCTTTGTGGTTCTTTATTATTATTATTATTATTATTATTATTATTATTATTATTATTATTATTATTATTACATTTTCGCCCCCCAGGCCCCGATGTGGGTCAGTGACCTGTGCCTGGGTGGGCTAATTCCCGTAAAAAAAAAAAAATATCAACCATCACCACCACTCACAATACCCACCAATCATCACCACCACTCACAATATGCACCATCACCACCACTCACAATGTGCACCATCACCACCACTCACAATACCCACCAATCATCACCACCACTCACAATATGCACCATCACCACCACTCACAATACCCACCAATCATCACCACCACTCACACACCATCACCACCACTCACACCATCACCAACCCACCAATCATCACCACCACTCCAATACCACCACCAATCATCACCACCACTCACCATCACCACCACTCACAATACCCACCAATCATCACCACCACTCACAATATGCACCATCACCACCACTCACCCACCAATCATCACCACTCACAATGTGCACCATCACCACCACACAATACCCACCAATCATCACCACCACTCACAATATGTCACCACCACCACAATACCACCAATCATCACCACACCAATATGCACCATCACACCCACTCACCCACCAATCATCACCACCACTCACACACCATCACCACCACTCACAATGTGCACCATCACCACCACCACCAATCATCACCACCATCACCCAATGCACCATCATCACCACCACTCTACCATCATCACCACCACCATATGCCCATCACCACCACTCATCCACCAATCATCACCACCACTCACAATGTGCACCATCACCACCACTTGCACCATCACCACCCTCATACACCACCAATCACCACCACTCACCCACCAATCATCACCACCACTCACAATATCATCACCACCACCATCACCACCACTCACAATACCCACCAATCATCACTACAATATGCACCATCACCACCACTCACAATCCACCAATCATCACCACCACAATGTGCACCATCACCACCACTCACACAATACCCACCAATCACCACCACTCACAATATGCACCATCAACACCACTCACAATGTGCACCATCACCACCACTCACAATACCCACCAATCATCACCACCACTCACAAAGTGCACCATCACCACTCACAATATGCACCAATCACCACCACTCACAATTCGCATCAATCACTATCATAACGCCCACCAATCACTACCACACAATACGCACCAATCACCACAACTCACAATGTCCACCACAACCAGTTAATTTTTGCTTTGCTTACTAAGCTTATATAGTTCAATATACCCAAAGTGTATATACGAATCAATATACCCACTAGGTAGCTCAAGTCAAACGTAGAGTGGGTTGTAAACATGGAAGTCACGTGTCATGGCCGAGTTCTTTCCTCTGTTCACTTTCTGACAATAGTAACGAGGGTAAAACCTAGATGTCCCATTACTTCAATAAACAGTGTAATAAATAAATGGAGTCCTCTAATTACCATCGATTATGGATAAATAACACAATGCCAAAGGATATCCCGAAAGCAGGCCGGAATGACCAAGTTGTCAACGAGCAGGAAAACAATACAACAACCATTATTTACGAAATTGTTCTTTATATGGACTAAAGTTTTAGTTCAATGTGATGTTATGCAGCTACTACTAACTTGCAATGCTGGATAATCGGCACCGAGCATCCAAATGAAGACTTCGATGCACGCCATCAACAAAACACAGTGGACATTTACCTAAACTTCACTTCGCAATTGTCAGGGGCCTTTGTTGACCTCTCTAATTATGAGTGAGGGTTCCTGCGACTCTTTATGGAATCCGCTAGTTCATAAATAATCAATCTCAAACCATATTTACCTAATGCACAGCCCCAGGAATCACCGGCTTGGAACAGAGCCTAATCTTCCCTTCACTGAACGTCCTGACCAGCCAGCGACGATAAACAGGGACGATGTACGATACTTGGAATAGCCTCAAATTACAAGTCCGTCATGGGTTCACTGCAAGTTTCTATTGCAAATACATCTTCAATCACACATAATCCATCTTATGAATAAAAATAACCCTGCAATTTTTCTATAACTAAATTAAAAGAAAACACTCATCAAATTTAACATATAACGGCTGATAACTGGTGAAAATGTTATTAAAAAAGTAAAGATCGATGCAACTACGACAAAGAAACTAACCTCTTCGCCACTTGGACAGGCCATAGAGCGACTTAATTATTCCTGAACTATACTATATCGATTATTTAAGTCAACTGATGACCTTATGACTAACAACTCTTCACACAAGATACTATAAACCGGAACTAGACATTTAAAATCTCAAAACTGATGGAAAACGTAAACCCCATCAATTTTCCTTGTCATGCCCCACCAACACAAGACACAGCTTCAGTTCGCCTGCCTTGCATGACGAACATAGTAATCCTTCACGCATAGTCTACTACCTTAGTCTGTGGATGCGAGAACAGTATCCAAAACAGCACTGGAAAAGACTATTCACAACAATAGAGGATACGTCATGACCACCTCCAAATTGCGTAGCCATTTGGTAAATTGGATGCAGACACGGATGCTGACGCCAACAAAAATAAGAAACAATTTGTAAAAGAACGAATAGAAAATAGTTTATTAGACGAAAACATTAAGGGCAGTAAGGGAGAATCAAGATGATGATGTGTGAGGTAGAGGTGCCGGGAGCCAAATGTACCAGTCGGGCAGAGGACGGAGACAGCCTAGCCGAGCTACTCAGTCTGCCTCCCACAGTTCAGCCGTTAACTCTGCACTGCTCTCCACACCACAAGTACATTCACGACTATATTAATATCCTACTTTACTGACACGTTAAAAGTATGTTTGTGGTTAATTTTACACATCACGATTGAACATCAATTTTCTACATTTCTAAGCACATTGCGCTTTGGACAGAAAAATGAGTGATAAGGGTCGAGTGTAAACAGGTCTACCTAGTATAGGAAAATAGGCTAAATCTTCGGTCGGCATGTGTTTGAATCAACAGGCTATGTTTTCGCTTTAGATGTTATGAAAATGTAATTAATTCTGGTAATTACATTACAATATGTTCAAAAAGGATATATAAATAATAGAGTTTAAGAGGAAGATGTTTAAGAGCAACAGTTAATATGATAATAAATGTAACTTTTACTAAGTAAATTCATTCCACATAATTTCTATCACCCAAATTTTGTATTACTCAACCTAATATGAAATCGTGTGTACATTTGTAGACTTCGCACATAGTATTTATTAGTAGATCATGACAATAGCATACAATCTTGACGTCTGGTTTTTGATGGTTACTGGACTAAGGTTAGGTCAAGTTCAAACTAGTTATCCCTTCAATCTGAGGAGAAATCGTGGTTATCAGTTAAGCGGTGACCTTCAGTGAGGACTTTTGCCCCATTCAAGATTTTCTGATGCTTGGTTTATAATTTCAGTTTATAAATATTAAAATCTTCGCCTTCAATTTGCAGTTTTCCGTATCCATAATGAACATTTCATGGTGTATTTGACAAAGTACATTTCTCCCAGTCAATACATCAAACACAATAAACACTGAACATTTATCAACTTTCTTTAATTCCCTTGAGATTAAACATGTATAGACCGCGCCAGCGAACAATGTCTGGGAGCGTACGAAAAAACATTACAATTTACTAAAGCGCATCTAGATGACTGGAGTGACTGCTAATAATGAACTTCCTAAAACAATTACAGCAGTAATAAAGTGAACACGTGTCCGTTGCTCTATCAATAAATTTAATACAGTTAAAAGCGATCACCTCAACCTTCCCCTTAGCGAGTACCGACGTATGATTTAAATTAGTCACTCATAAAATATATTTAAAAATATCACACTAGGGTTGTGAAAGAATTCACTCGACTCCTTTCAGACATCTAATCATAATATATTCACTCATTCAATCAGCACAACATTTACTCAAAGCCCAGCTTCATTACTCAACGCCCAGCTTCATAATTATCAGCCAACACGCACGCATTTCTCACAGCAAATGGTAGCTCGTGCTTCCACAGCATCTTAACACCATCAGTTACTTCTACGATTTTAATGAGATAATTTCCTGCTACTGTTGTGATAATTGATTTTTAAAACGAGAGAAACTGTAACTGACAACTTTTAGACAATTCTGTTACACCTTGGTACAGTATATAGCTATGGGTGTTAATTGTTACTGTTGACACTAACTACCGTACTACGTGTGATCGCACTGTCTTATTACTAACCTCTGGGTATGCCGCCACCGGAGGTGTACCTCAGCAAATATAACCACCAGGTTTAATGGACGCAGTACCTAGTAGTGACGTAACTACAAGGTGGGTAAACTTCAGGGGAGTGGAGAGGGCATTACGACGCGCTGCTCCTAGTGACTAACCCCAGGTGCGGTGACACGTCACACCTTACTGCGCCTCAGGGGCAGAATATAACGGAGTCACATTTTATATAAAGGAAACTTGACTATGATGAAGCTTTATAATATTTACGTAGGACTATTGTTATTCACATACCAATATTAATAATGCATATTAATAGTTTACACAAATACTACTACTTTGCTGTCACTCTAAATCGAGTATGACGATCATCCAGCTATGATACAATGATATGAGTTATTAGGGATGTCACCTAGGTTGGTGAGTTTTGAGGTGACTTAAGAGCCCGATACAGGACCAGCAGCATCGTTCACATTCATTGTACAGTCGTGAACAGAAGTCCTGTTACCCCATGTGCTGGCGAACCAAGAGATTCAGACTCATGAACCCGAAGCAGTAGACACTGGTGCATTATTCTGCCCATAAATGCTTCGGATTCATGAGTCTGAATCTCAGGGTTCGTGGAGCAGCAGAAGGGGCGACAGGACTTCTGTTCACGAGTGTACATGTGGAGGGCTGCATCTACTGCGGGTAGGGGCGGTGGCAGTGTCTTTCCAGCGTTGGCGCATGTCTGCCTCGGTTTGCAGTTGGGGTAACTAAAACCCATTGACACCCTCTCATGCAGTGCTCCTCCAAGCATTACATTGTGGAGTATATACACAACTATTACCTATAGAACACACACAATTCGTATAAATCTTTGTTGATACCCTGTAATTTTAACCCATCCAGAAGATGTCTTAACATCTATGATTGTTTGTTCTTTTCTGCTTACCACTTGAACAGTGTTTTCATACAAGTTTTGTACTGAATGACACACACATATAATCAGTCTTTCATTAACTCCTTGGGTACTGTACATACTGGATGTCAACTCAACAAAATATATTTCTGTGTAAAGATATAAATATACCGTACTGTATAGTTTATGCATTTGCCTACATTTTGTACTTGACTTTTCTATTATACAGTACCCCACTCAGCTAATACAATTCCCTATTCTACATTTATTTGTCCCCAAAAACTAAGTGACAAAGATGTGATCAAGAATATCAAATGTACCAAGTTATGCTGTGCTGTACATCCTTCCTTTAGCGGGAATGGGAGCGAAGTGGAGGTTAGAGCAAAAAGTTCTTTCAGTGGATCTGTTAATAATTCAGTCATGCACTAATTCAAGAAAGAATTTAATTGAACTGCTATACGCTACTGAATAAATTTAATGCTTCTATCCCCATACTAGACAGCCCTATTTACACCCAACCCTTATCACTCTTATATCCATCCAACCCATATCCGAAGCTTTCCAGCAAGTTTGAGTCAATGATGGTGGTTGGTAATTTGTTCTACTCCACAACTCTACATCCAAACCAATGTTTATCTATTTCACATCTAAATCTAATACTGTATGTCTAATCTAAAACCATTGCTACGTGTTTGCTCCTGGTTTGATAGTTGAAGTATCTTAGTTATATCGCCTCCCTTTAAATTAACCCTTATACACTTTGATCATATCGTCCCTCACTCTACATCTCTCAAGAATATGTAATTTCAGATTTCATAATGCTCTGAATACTCTCTAGGGAGTCGGTATCCATTTTACAGTTCGGTATCAAAGCTGAACCACATAATCAAAATGAGGTCTCACATGCACTAAGTACAGTTTAAGGATACAATACAATACAATGTAGCACAGAGTCTTTTGTGAACCAATAGTATTATAGAAACAAGTAATATTAAATATATGACCTTTCATTTATATGAAAATGTGTCTTAACTTCTGAGGAACACTGATGAATTACCCAGTACAGTACATGAAAAAAAATGGTATTTTTTCTCTTAACCATTGAGGAACAACTAAGAGTGACTTTTTAATAATATGACAGGAAATTCTTCAAAAGGAGGCTGTTGAATGTCTGCAGTAAAATACAGAACACAGCATGGCATCTGTACTATTCAAGAAAGCATGGCTATGGTGGCATGGGAGAGCAGGTGGGTGGAGCGGACATCAAATTTGGTACTGTCTACTCATAGCTTGGATCTTTTTAACCACTCATGTCATCATCTGCACGCGTGGCAGCCTTCACCACCCAGCCCTACAACAAGTTTGCTACGGCCACGACAACGATCCCCAAACTAATCAACCTCATAACACCTGCTGCCATCTCCACAACTACACCAAGGACGATATTATTACCTGCGTTCAGAGAGCAACGTATGATTTCCCCGACGCCAAACGGTATTAATTTATAAGGTTAATTGGAGATTTTCTTTTCATAATATTACATACCCAACGCCATGACATTATAACAAACAATAAATTCCTTTTCTATATACAGTACAATACAGCATGCCCAGACAATTAACGGACCTTTATTATTAGCGGATGGCACCCTGGTTGTACCCAAGAATGTCTGCGGGTAGTTTTAAAGTTGCCGGCATTTTCGTAGCCGGGACACACACACATATGTATATACAATACAGGTAAAAGAAATAATAATGTCCTAAGGACAAACACAAATTTCTTTGCACACGAGTAAAAAATGTAACCCCCCCCCTCCCCCCTCGGTCAGCAAATGATATTCGCAACCATTTTAAGACCCAAACTCCCACAAACTTTAAGGGCCTACTGTACTGTAGTAACTTGAGTTCAATGCACTCATAGCTTAGTCTTAATCTTGTATCACAACATTGTATTAATTTTTTTTAAGTGCAGTAATCAACCAACTTTATTTTTCCAAGACTTCAATTTTCCCATTTCTATGCTTCCCACTTTACTGAATTAGTCTGTTGGTCTTCTATTTATCTGCCTTTTGTTATACTGTATCCAAACTTCTCAAACAAAAGAGGAATTGCAATTAAACTTTACATATCTACAACTCGATATGGTGAAGTGTTCAATACCACAATCAAACCATTACCTCTTGAAAATAGTCCGTGATCACAGATACTCTTTTTTGGAGGTATTAATAGCTTCACTTATTTCTTTATTTTATTTATTTATACTTTAATTTCCTCCTTCTCCTCTACTCCCATTTGTTAAGTTACAGCCAAGCCCAAACAAACTACTGGGAATTATTCTGAAATGCTATTATCTTTCCACTATACTGTACAGCATTAACAGTTGGTAATTACTGTACTGTATATTAAATAATAGCTGTGTTTATTGTCAAGAACTCTTGTGAAGTGTTTTGAGCATCACTGGATGTGTCTAAGATAGTTAATACAGGAACTAAGTCTTGTGCTATTTGTGGTAAACAGCATTCAAAAAATAGGCTTGTAGACTTATGCAAACAGAAAACTAACCAATCAACCCTTTCAGATACAGGAGAGATGCCAGTATAAACAATCCCAACAATGACCGATCACTCACCAAAGAAAAAGACTACTTCCCCAGCCCAAACAATCACCTGTTGAAGTTTTACCACCTCCCAATTGGACGTTCCTCCCCAGACCCTCAACCCAATGGGATATCTGGCCTCCCAACTACTAGCGGAGTTTGGGGATGGCTGTGGGTAGTTACAGGGGATTCGAGAATGAGGCAAGTCTTCAGTGCTTTGGTGACGCGACTCAATTCTCCAAGACTCAAGTACAGAAATCCATCAACAGGGGTAGCTACTGAGATTTAACTGTTATTTGTACAACTTTTCATTAACATTAATTACTGAGGATATTTTTTCTTCAATTTATACTAATGATACCAACAGTACTGTAATATTGTATATATTGTACAGTACAGTATACAGTAATTTGTACCTTGCACCCACAGCATGGATTCATTTAATTTTTTAACAGTACAATATTGAACTGTTAGAGACTGTAGACATACCCCATTCATCACAGTACATAGGTTGTTATAAGACACTGTTATGTGAAACTATAAGAAACATGTTTGCCAATGAAAAGGTGTGAATTATCTGAAGATGCATTCCTAACATAAGATTTTCAGCTGTAAAACATAACACAAGTATAAAAAATGCACATGAAATGCAAACAAATAATACAAACACTGTACAGGCAGTCCCCGACTTACTAACGCCCACTGATACGAACGAGGTTAAACTCAAAATTTACAGTACAGGTACAGTAATATCTCCGTTAGTCGGAATCCCTTAAACCCGGAACTCTCCAATAACCAGAATTGAAATTATCGGAAAATCGTTCCCAAAGTCGGAATTTTCTGGAAAATTACGACTTTGGGAACGATTTTCCGGAAAATTATGGGGATGGGGGAATTTTTTTCTGGGTTTGAGAGATGAAAATCAGGCGCATTTTCCGGTAATTCCGAGAAAAATTTTCCGTTACCCAGGAAATTCTGGGGAGGAGGGAATTTTTTCCAGCTTTGAGAGTTGTCTCGTTACCCGGAAATCTCTCATTCCCGCAAGTGCTCAGCACCAATTGTTCTAGCTAATGGGGATATCACTGTACAATACTGTACTGTAATACTGTACAATAATAAAAAAAATAATAATATTTTAACACTTAATTTGAGGTGTGTATGTACAATTCCCAGCAGCTTTGTTTACTTAGCGGCAGCGCAAACAGCTGATTGTAGACACAGTCGATGATGCCATGCCATGTTCTTTACAGAGTGCATTGGTTCTAATGCCTCCTTTGTATTTCTTAATAATTTCTTGTTTCACTTGAATTGAAATCGCCTTCAGAGTTTTCTTTGGACACATGCTTAATAATTTCACCAATAAAATTTGAAGTTCATAATTTATTAAACTAATTCCAGATTTTTTAATTTAAACCAACACTGTACAGTGCTGTATATTATCAATATGTTAACTAAATTTCAGAATGACCAATGATTTTAATATTTCTCGTACGGCTGTTGTTAATAGAACTGAAATTCCTTACAGGAGGTAACTCATTAACTTAAATCTCATAGATTGAACCGCTCATTAATGGAGGGACCACTGTATTTACCACTCCTACACTACTGTAAATAAATCTCTAAATTTTCTAATAATTAAGCTGACATTTCTTAACATTACAGTAAACCCTCGAAAACTCGGCACATATGAGGCTCCGGCCTTGCAGAGTTATCCCAAATTTTGACTTATCGAGGCACTTTTCCCCTCCTACAAAAATACAATAAAAAAATTATCGACCCATATATGTGTAGTACATGTAATTACTAAATGTAAAAATGTAACACTTACCAGCACTACAGGTGAAAAATGAAGCATCATAGTAGATGAAACATGCATGGTAGGTGATGCAGGTGGCCAGAAATGCCAAGATTTTCCCAGATAATTTTATATATCTCGGCATTTCCATGCCGAGTTATCGAGGGTATACTATATAACCTTTTCAGGGCAAGTGGCGAAGTGTACACGAATTAGTAGAAAACTTGCGTATCGGCAAATTACACCAAGACATTGAAGTGCAACACCTGGATGTACCTCTAAGACTTGTGTTTCACTGGGACCCACTACTGCTAAAGTTACCAGCACTCTTGAATCACTGGACAGACCAAGAAGAACAAAGACCAACTCTACTCCTATTAGGCGAGTAATATTACCTATAATAATCAGAGTTAAATTTTTAAGTTCATTACTCAAGGGTGGAAGTATGATCTACCAGTACTAACTTCTTTTTTATCTCTAGCCATTCTTCTGTTGACTTAAATGTACAGTAATTATGATGACATGACTACAATACATAGGTAAAACTTTATGAAACCACAAGCAGCTTCCATACATTTCATTGTCAGTCTTTATTTTTTTAAGTTTACATTGCTAGTACAGGGGGTCCTCGTTATCCGTGGTTAAATGGGACCAGAAAAACGCCTCTGGTAACGAATCCACTTAAAGCGGGGAATTAATCCCACAAGAAATAATGGAAATTAGTCAAATTGGGACCATGACTTTGTACACGACACTAAAATTTTTTATATATTATCTTTAAATAATTATTTACCTCAGAAACACTTGTTAAACATTTGATAACACATTATTTTAATAAGTTATTTAACTTTATAAGTTATCTAACGTCCTTAAAGTTCATTGGGGTCTGTGTGTTGAGGCAACATAAGTTGTGCCAGTGACCAAGTGGTCAACAGCAACTGTTACTGGTGCACATTCACTCCAGTGGTTCATTGAGACAAAATACTAATTATTATGTTTTAAAAATAAGTAATTTTAACATACTAAAATATGTTTATTTACTTAGCTTCAAAGGTAGAGATGTTTGGCTTGATTGGATTGATGGAGGAGGATGAAAAATAAACAGGAATAGGTGGATTGTCCACTCCCACACTCCTTTTGCCTAATAATTTCTAATTTTACTCGTATACTATAGCTGTGTGCTTCCTTCTGAGTGCTGCACCACCCAGTCTGGGTTGGGAACCCATGGCTACAAAAGTGATAAAATGATTCACCACAACATGCAAGAAAAGACAACAAAGGCAGGAGTAAACACAATACAGCGCTGGTCTGAACAAAACAAAACGGGAGATTGGTGCTGGGACACGTGTGTGCATGCATGACACCAAAAAGATAATAAATTTCAAATGCTTCTGCTAAAAATCCATATACGGGTATTTTATCGGTGGGGTTAAATCCATAGATTTTATAAGGAGTTTTCAGAGGTTTTGAGTAGAATCCAATTAAATGCAGGAACTTTTTAGGTGGATGGTCACAAAAAGTTGACCACTTAACTGCGAAACCGAGGATAGTGAATACAGTACTCATATAACGAGGACCTCCTGTATCTATCTTTGATATTTTTTTATGTCTCTAAATTCCATCCATTAAAATAATAGAATAGTCCTTGTCTCAGTAGTACAGTATAACCCACTCTGGTCACTCTCCAGGATCAAGTCTACACTGGATGAAGACGACCCTAAACACATTCCACACATCTGGCCCTCAAGCTGCCTTGGATAAGTTTAAAAAACACATGAATACTTTTTTGCCACAGCTAACCAAGTTTGCTGAAACAACTTCCACGATCATCCAACTTCAAGACCATTTACAGGTAAGCATCCAGGTGTGATTTTGACACTGATACTGTCTGTACTATCAATATTAAGGCAAGAATCCTGACCTACACTGGATAGTACTCACTTCAATTACTGACCTACATATATACTGTATACAGTATACTGTGTACCAAGCCTTATGAGGAACTAGAGTAATATAAATAGATTATTCTCTTGTTGACAAAGGAATTAGGACATTTAAATTTCTTGAGTGTTTCATGAATGTCAATTTTGTTGTCAATCATATTTTAGGTTAACCTAAGACCATAAGGAACCTTAAACTGCCTCAGAGAATTAAAGCTTCAGTAGCTCCGTTTTATCTCGGCTGGTACTGTACTGATATACCTGAGTACAGGTAATCTAATTATCATTCTTCTCCTTGGCCCAAAGGAATCACGGATCTTCAGAAAATACCGAGGCATCTATTCCAACAGCAACATTGACCTGTACAATAATTTCCTATCATCTTACTTAACTGGCTCAAGCATCACCATCTGGGACAGCAACATTCCTTTCTCTGACACCTACATCACTCAATGTGTACATGGTTATAAAAAATCATTTGATAAATTATGGGACTGTGGCAATCCTCTACACACTGGCTTTATCATGATTGAGAAATATGCAAATATGTTTCTCAATGATGTCTGCAACTCTTACTTTGACTTAAATGCCACTTACTGTTAATATGAATGTGATTTTAATGAATCAGCTTTATCATTAATGTTTTAAACCCATTTTCCACACTTGACTACCTACAGTATTTTCTAGATTTAACTTACTAATTCGAGCCGCCCCTTTCCGTTAAATCAAAATTTCCGCTAAATCGAACATGATTCCGTTAAATTCCGTGCCAAATATGCCACTTGACGCTTGGGGTTTGTTTACATCCGCTCAGTCTGTGTCCTGCTGCCACCACGTGTGTTGTTTACTGCTACCTCTCGGTCAACTAACTACTGTGCTTGGACATCATGCCGAAAGTCTCTCAGAAAGGAAGTGGTGTGTGGGAGAAAGTCAAGAGAGTGCGGCTATCAATTGGAAAAAAAGTTTGGAAATTATAGACAAAATTGAAAACAAACACCAAACCGCCTTGTTTAAGGTATGCCATGAATAATGATTCTAATGTTTCTATGCCTGAGGTGTCTCTGTAGGTGTGAGCATATTACCGGAATTACAGTATTTTACAGCATATGACGCACTTTTTTTGTCTGAAAAATGTCAAAAAAAATCAGCCTGTGTCCTATATGTGAAGTTGCAGTCTCCTGCAAGTTAATGAATCCCCCAGTTGCTGTCTCCAGAAGGCTAACTTCTACCTAACCCAATTCCAGAATTAAAAATGTTATTGCTTACTTAAACACATTACAGTACAAGCATTACAATCTATTATTGCCATACCTGCAACACTTATTTTTCAATCTACAAATACCTGATACAAATGAAGATTTACAGACACCTTTCTTCACAGTTACACCTGTTAACATCACTGGTAGCATTATAGCCAGGTTAGACTCGTCTCTGTAACCAGGTTACTGGACCAAACTGTTGTTTTTCAACTTGTATTTTTGGGTCTTTCTTAATTTATTTTTCCTGATATACATGCACACATCATCCTACATACTTAATGAAAAAAATAAAAGAAATAATTGTCCTAAGGGGAAACACATAAAGGGAATATACATTTCCTTGTAAACGAGTTAGCTGGTTCAGTGAGGGAGCAGAAGGACAACTGGGCAGTGGGGGTTGTCATTGGGGGGTAAGAGTGTTTGCTTGGGAATCGGCGGAGGTAGCGTCACCGCTACTATGGTAAACAGGGAGTATAGATGTACAGTATATGCAAATGGCGACTGTGTTAAACTTTCATTTGGCTTTTATTTACTGGTTTGGCAATAGAGTAATTTTTTTTGTAACTTATTTATTGGTATTATTTGTATTTATTCCTCACATTTACTGGTACTGTATATATTCTTTTAAGGAAACTATGGATACAGGAGGAAAATACACACAAGTTTTTTTTCCTAAATACTCCCTGCTGAAATGAGGAGTGTCTTATATGCCGTAAAATACGGTAATCTCGATTTCATGAACTAGTTGACTAAATCTAGTGAAAATAACGAGAAAAATTCCTTCCGCTAAATCTAGTGTTCGTTATATCGGATTCCGTTAAATCGAGAGTATACTGTAATGTAATTTCTTAAAACCTCTCCCCATGTTATTCTTGACCTACCACTGGCTTTCGTCCCTTCCACATTTAGGTTCATGCCCCTCTTGACCGTAAAATGATATACCATATAGGTTTTCCGATACATGTTCAGGCAGAAGGCCAACAGTGGATGTGAAGAGACTGAAGATGAAGGGGTCCATGGCCCATACTTTACATCGTCCACTGTACAAACTGGACAAACTACAGCAACCCTTAAATCATGATGCAAACAGATAAATCAAGAAAATAAACTTGTTACACATTATCAAAGAGATTTTTTTTAATTAATGACCTGAATAAACTCAGAATAAACTCAGACCTTGGCTAAATTGACTGATTTGGCAAGTGGCCTATTCAATATGAAATTCCTTAATACTGTACAGTATATTAAAATACAGTACTATAATGTATTCGTAAATAAAATATACAAAAAATAATGACTGCCTTTTCTACCCTCTTTTACAATGGTGGTACATTACTTCTTAACAGGAATAAAGGTAGTGCTTATATATCATATATTAACAAGTTGTGTACAATGTCCTAACGCCTTTAGTACCATGACCCATCAATACTATGACCCAACACCCTGAATGCAACGTCATCACACACAAGGGGTTAGGGTTGAGTTGCATGTTACCATTTACAGCTCAGGCCTACAGTGTCTCAGAAGGAAATTTGATTGATGAAATGCAGACACTGTGGGGAAGCTTTATAACTTTGACATTTTCTCTTCTATTAATTTTGTATATGAATTAAAAGAAACAAAACCCTGATACAATCCCATTCAAAAATATCATGAAATGTGGTATCAATATCCTTAACATTTACTGTACCAAATTACGTATTCATAATTCATGTAAAGCCCACTGATGGTACAGTAAAATTTAGGTGGTGTTAGGGAGTCTATGCAGTACTGTACACAAGTTCATTTCCGACAGACCACGATAAATGCCAATCAAACATAAACCATGGTTCTTTATTATTTGGACAATTTTAATTGGTTCATAATACTCTGTCATATGTGAACTACATGTGGCCTTCCTAACACTCTTTTGTTGACATTACGGTAGTGTTACATCACGAAAACATTAATAATTGTCTAAGAGACTAAGACAGTATAAGAATCAGTTGTAACCCTTGACCAGAAGTTTAATCAAATTCTATAATAAAATGGTCTAAATTTTTCAACTATCCAAAATTGGTACAGTATTTTGTGTCACATGTGAGATTACAATTATCCAGAATAGATTTACACCACAGCAGGAAGCAGACCGATGATTCTATAATAATTAATATTTAGTCAATTTAACCAAGGACAGCAAACTAAGCCATACGGAAGTGTGTTCCTACAGCTCATGACAGCTCGTGTCTCCAAACACCAATGTCATAGTAGTAGTGTCACTATTTATGAATAAATCGCATCCAGATTTACACGACCAATACCTATGGGATATATGGGTTACCACAGGGGGGGTATAGGAACACATTTCTGCAACTGTACCATCAATGAACAGTTAAATTTTAACAAGAAAGTCCTTTTTCTTTGTCAATGCTCAGTGGTTCATTTCTGCTAAAAATCATCCATAGTTCAGTAATGACTTGTAATGTAATTTTTGCTGAGAACTCTACTAGCATATAGGTAAATGTATACAAAATATACCATTAAAAAATTAATTCACAATTGCTTTTGTCATAATACACTGGGGATAAAAATGCCAAAGAGTAGGTACTCAAGTAATATGTTTTGCAAAGTTAAGTTGATTCATTTTACAAACAATAAACTATACATTGTAGCAGTAGCTAGCTGGTTGGTTAGGTTAAGTTAGGTTGGTTAATTTTACTGTTATATAATTTTCTCATACTTGGCGATGAACAAGAACTGGATGTAAACAAAGACTGTCAGTCGAGTGGATATCCCAAAAGTTCATCACAAGGGAAGTCCTAAAAATATAATAGGACACGTATTCTCACCCACATTTTGCCATTTTCAAGGGAGAAGAAATCATTTATCTTCTCTGGTGAAATGTCCCACAGTAATTAGTTAAGAACCGCAGGAAATACGGACAATTACCAATAAGACTTTATGCTGGCCGTGGCTAATTGTATTGCCCAATCTCATCACAATCTCTATTTTTAGAAGAGAATTGAAATAGTCTCGAGAAATCAATCCGAAACTTACCTAAAGTGAGAGACAACATGACGAGACATGATGAGATTTGTCTGCTCAATTAGCCATAGTAATAACTTATCTCTATGTCACTCCTCTTAGTATTGTATATTATTATAGCAACAAGAGTAAAATTATCGTTTCCGTCATGCACCTATTTGGAAGTAGCTGTGAATCGTTTAAATACCCATAAAGAAAACACATTGGAAAAACACACTCAACCTAACCTAACCAAACCTAAACTTAAAATCCTAAAATTCGCTGCATATGGCCAAAATGATAATACAGCAACAAGTTTCTTCAATATATTTTCGTTCGTTCAGTTGCTGGATAATGTCCTAGAATATTACCGAAACATATACTGTATGTGTGATTATATAACAAAACCTGTCAAGTAGCAACATTTTCCCAACCTTCATCATCGACGTTAGGTTTATACCATAACATGTGATAATAAGTAATTATAATGTTGAAAATTACAAACAAATCTGTATAACAATGGATAATAAATCTTATGTAATAATTATACCCATGTTCACCAACTCTTTTTGTCACACAGGACCATAGTAAACACTACTAGTTTCACTCTACAAACAATACATACACCTCACTGACACCTAGCTACGGTAAATTAAACCTCACTTACTTGATTTGTTAGTTTATATGTTGAAATCAAAGCCACTATGTAATAAAAAACTCGAAATTAAGCTGGAGTTGGACGGCACCAAGGTTTTCCTCTGGACGCTTCCTCAGGCTCTGCTATGTTATGGTCACGGAATAAATGTCTAACTTTAAAAGAACGCACTTCTGTATAAAATTTCACAGATTTACGTTAATAATAACAAATAGCATTACTAAAGAAGAAATAGTGCAAGTAATAAATTTCTGGTACGACACAGAACACAGGTTTTTTCAATTTTGTCACTCGACTCTCTATTACGGAACAGTAAACAAGGAGACCACCAGTTACGGCAATTAGACAACGTTCATACACTAACGTTGCTTCGGCCCAAATAGCCCAAAGGCGAAGTGGCCAGCAATCCCCAATACCAGTCCAACGTTGCTTATATCTGTATAAAAACGAGCGAATTTTAGGCTTTACAACATACAATTCACAGTAAATCCATGGATTTGTAATCTCACACACCATCTTGAACTGCCCAGTTCTATCAGTCAACTCTCGATACCTGCCTCTTGCAAAATGTGATCTAGTTCAGCATTATACGAGACCAATTATTTGTAGTTTCATTCTACATTTAAGCCAGACATTGAAAACTTTTATTTCTCTCTCTATGAAATGCCAAATATTATTTTTAACTGCTAATTATGTATTTTTTTATCATATTCGCCACTTATCAGCTTACTAGCCGTTTGGGAGCTCTATAAAATTAGTAAGAACTGTGTTGAACTTATCTATAGATAACTGGCTTCAGTTATTTTTTCCTATAACGTTATAATTAGGATAGATTCTCTTTTTGTGAATTATTCGTAAAAAATGATTGTCACACTTAAGAATAGCCTTCTTGTTATTAATTACGTGGACATAAAACCAGAGTGCCGTCCACAACTGAAGTCTGGCGACCACAGTCTTTCACTCTTTTAATGTCTTGGGCTGTTTTTACCAATCCTTTAAGGTTTTATCTCTCTGGGAATCGTTTTTATTTTCATTCATCTGCACCAGTTTCAACCATCCCTTGGTCCTCAAATTTGACCATTAATATTTGTTATTATCCCCTCAGCCTTAATTTAACGACCTAAGTACCTCATTCTTCTTTTTCTGTACATTTCAAGTATTCCCCTTGAAGTTTTACTAATCTTTGTATTTCATTTGCATTCCTGTCAGTGTAGCTTATTCTTGACCTTCGCCTATCGCTCCACATTTCAAAAAGCCTCCATCCTCTTTCTGGAGTCTGTTGAAAGTGTCCTCGCTTCTGACCCATACCTCAACATCAAATAATCAGAGCACCGTCTTCATATCTGAGGGTTAGCGACCAGTCCTCCACTCTAAAGCGTTCTCGGGTTGTTTTTACTAAACCTCTAATAATGTTTAAGGTTAAATTGTCGTTTTCTATTCGCTAGACGAAAATGGTCACAATTTTCAAGGGGGAACGTGAATAAACTTTCACTTTCTAGGCAACACTGCCAGTTTTTGTCCGTAAGCAAGAAAATTATCGTGTTATTCGTAACATTACATTAATGTTGTAAGCCTATTACGTCATGTAGTAAAAATTTATATTGTGTGGCCAAATGTGTCAAATGAATCATACATTATTATAATTTACTTTATAATCTTCGCCACTGATGGATCTGTTCCTCTTGGACGGTCTATCATGTCTGTTACACACTGTTGGCAAGTACTTGTTCCAGATTATATCTGTACCTGCACCAGTGTTGGTCAAGTATGGTCTTGAAAGAGCTGGCACTCGGTGCCATCACAATACTGTTAGATTGTTCCAAGAGTTCAAATTTTTACTCCGTAAAAGTTTGCCCAGGTATGGACATTCGACTGAATAGTGCCCTCTGAGATGTTTATAAACTTCAATTACAGTACATATATTGTAGTGAGTTAAAGAGAAAAGAGAGAGTAACATTTCCTAATGTTTTACTAAAAAAATCTTAGATCTTAACTGTAACAAGTACTGGGCAGGAACAATTGGGAATTAGCCGTGTGGAATATAAAAACAATATCAGGGACCACTTAAAAGAGTTAGATTTACAATAATTTACAAAGACTCCTTTATACATTCTCCCACATCATCATTTTACACCATTAAAATCAATGATACAGTACGAAACAACACAAGCCAGAGGACAACAGCTATGTATGTTTATAAAGAATCCCATAATAATATATACCATCAACATCATTAATAACATTACCACATCAACATTACTATCATCATCATCAACATTACTACCATAATCCTCGTATTAAGGTAATTTTCTACACATGTTTAGGTTAGTATATATTATATAGGGTTTACATATTAACTAAAGATTACTAAAATACCACCAAGTGAATTTTCTGAAGTACAGAGTAAGTTTCAAACAATTCTACAAACAGTATAACTAACTATAGTCCATTTAATACCTACAGGCTACTGTACAGTTACGGTGGTGATGAGGTACATTCTACAGTACAGTGATTGGGTACACTGTACAGTACTGGCAGTGTTGACAGGGGCCGTACCTTCAGCAGTAAATCCAGTCATGATGTTCTGGTGGTCTACATCTCACTGGACAAGGCTTGGGTACTTTTGTATTCCCAGGCGGGTCACGATAACTGAGAGAGAAAAAATATAAACATAATAATCAGGATGCGTTATTTTTTATTGAAATTACGAAACAAAAATAGAAGATGGAGGGGAATAATGGGGAAAGGGAAGCATTAGCAGTGTCTGTTATGTAAGTATTGAGGATCATTAGGTGAAGAGGACTGAAATTTTAACAGATTTTTCTTTTTATTAATGAGTGGGTCTTTCATTTTATGGTTCAGATATAATATAGGATGAAAAACAGTGTTAGGTATAAACCAATCATATAAGGGCACTATATGACCCAGTAATAGTGCCAAGTGTTCAGGGAATTTGTTCAGCAACTGTAAATGTAAGAAGAAGCAGCGTGTGTATGAACAAGAGAAGAGAATAAACTACAGTACATGTATAGAATAATTGGATATTACTTTCTTCAATACTGTATGAGTAAAGTGTAGGTCAAGAGATAGCATATATCAGTCTGTGGTGTTAGTGGTGTGGCATATGTGTTTTGAATGAAGTAGGATAAGACCTTTAGTGTATGTGTGTGTTGGTGTGGTATAGATGAAGACCTACCTGGTGGAGCCGACGAAGTATCTGTTCTCTCGCTTTGTGGGCCAGGGCCAAGCCTTGCCATAAAATTTACACCAGTAGCTATCATGGGCCATCACATTACCAGCCATCTTTGGCCAAAGCCTCACCTGTAAAAATATACATTATTAAGGTACATACACTGTCACCCAAGGCCACTGAGTTGCACTGTATCTCTATATAGACTCGAACAAGGTTGGAGATCAAGAGGATGGTGTTACCTAATGAAGATCATCAAACAAACTAGAGCACTCAAGCACTATCTTCCTCAAGTGATTAAACCATCATCCTCAAAGGGTTACTTAAAACCTCATCCTCAAAGGGTTAAACCACCATCCAGAAAAGTTATCCTCAAAGGTTTAATCCATTGTCCTAATTCAGCTTTTAACCCTTTTGGGGGACTATAATTTAACCCTTTGAGGACGATAACTTAACCCTTTGAGGACGATAACTTAACCCCTCAGACCTCAAAGGGTTAAAGAATCATATTTTCGAATCCCTAAACCAACTGCCTTTATAAACCATAGTACAAGTTGTGTAAAAGTTCTTACCGCTAAAATTTCCTGATCCTTCCCATGTTTTTGTTCGCCATAGGCATCTTTAAACATCTTATCCCTGATTTGGGAGAGGAATTTGGCATTCTCAGGGACGAGTTGCCGGTTCAGGCCCCAGCGAGCTCCCCAGAGGCCACCCATGATAGGGGCATTGTGGGCTGGGTGGTCTCTCATAACATGGAAGTGCTTACTAGATGCCAGCCACTCTCTCACAGCTGCTGCCTCACGTCTACTTATCTGAGGAGAATTAAATAGTGTTAATCACCCTGTTATCTGGATTAACTAAGACACATACTATAATATTCCAACTACATCATGTATAAATGAAACTACACATCTCTCAACAGAACTACACATCCTTAACTATATCTACACATTCTTCAGTACACCTACACACCATTCAACACAGAAATATGTCCTGTAATACATACTATACCATTAAACTTATTATATAATATACCAAGAGTTTTCAGTTAAAATATAGTATTTACATAGCATAACTTACAATATGATCATGTGAAGATTAGACACCCCATCGTGTTTCACCTGATATTTAACACCCTAATGCTAACAGTCATCCTCTATAATTAAGCCTCACTAACACAGACTAATGCACGTCAAACATACACTCATGCAGAAAACACACAAAATACAGGCAAATACAAACCGCTGAATCCGTATCTCGTATCATAAGAGCTCTTAGTTGAGGATCACCAAGGGGCACGACCCGCCACATCATGCGGTGTATCCCCGTCAGGTTACCCAAGGGCTGCGGCAGGTTGGTGACATCACACAGGTAGAGGTGGTCGTGCTGGTGTAGGAGTGGGCACAAGGTGGAGACGTAAAAACGAGGGTTGGTATAAACGCGTACTTTCCACCCCGGGTATAAACGTCGTACCTGGAAAATAACAAATGACTTACAATTATTTCTTGTGCCAAACACACTAAGGGTGACTTAATACTTCACGTGAATCAGAAACATCTATAACGAATTAATTTTAAACATGTGGTGATATTTAATGGTTAGGAAGAGTCTTTAGTGTGGTATGAAGTCTGTAGTGTGGTAGGAAGAGTCTTTACTGTGGTAGGAAGAGTCTTTAGTGTGGTAGGAAGAGTCTTTAGTGTGGTATCAAGTCTGTAGTGTGGTAGGAAGAGTCTGTAGTGTGGTAGGAAGAGTCTTTAGTGTGGTAGGAAGAGTCTTTAGTGTGGTATCAAGTCTGTAGTGTGGTAGGAAGAGTCTTTAGTGTGGTAGGAAGAGTCTTTAGTGTGGTATCAAGTCTGTAGTGTGGTAGGAAGAGTTTTTGTGGTAGGAAGTCTTTGTGGTAGGAAGTCTTTAGTGTGGTAGGAAGAGTCTTTAGTGTGGTAGGAGCTCTGTAGTGTGATAGGAAGTCTTTATTGTGGGAGGAAGAGTCTTAGTGTGGTAGGAAGAGTCTTACTGTGGGAGGAAGTCTTTAGTGTGGTAGGAAGTCTTTAGTGGTAGGAGGTCTCTGGCTTAGTAGAGGCAGAAAGAGGGTTGAGGATCACGCCTTCGTTTGCCTAGGTGACGAAGCGCCTCTTGGGGAGGATACTGGAGTGAATGACCTCTGTGGGATTAAATTCAGATAGAGGAACTAACGGTATAGAGAACTAATATAATATTTTTATAGACGTATAATAATAATCTTAAATCGATCTGGTAAACAAACTCAAATATTCATATTTTACGATGAGATTCTAAAGTGCAGCGGATTCTCGACTTTCATCAAGATACTGCAAGTCTTACCTTCTTTAGTAAGCTGTCGAGACCTCTCCAGTAGTTGCGTTTGTCGCCGTATAAAGAAAAGGACAACACATGCTGCCCATCACCTGCTTCCCATGCACGCCGCCCACATGTACCACCCACACCATCCAAGGGGTCAAATGGTACATCTACATCAGGCACACACACCTTCTCTTCACACGTACATCGCCCACTCTCCCACCATGGTATAAAGGAGTCCTGTAACACCAAAACACTTAACTATATACACGTGAAAGGAATATGTATATTACTCTTGCACTAAAACTGTCACCATAGATAAAAACCTTCACAGTTTCCAAAGTACAGTACCTAGAGAGCGCAAACATATAATAATATTAAACAAAAGAAAATTTAACCAAGGATAGACGAAGAAAAATAAATTATATACCAAATTGTAACAGTTGTGAAGCGCTACGAACGACTGATTACGAGCTAAGATATATAACCAAGTACATCGTGACCGTGTCCGCTGAGGGCTTTCTGTTGTAGGGGAGAGGATCCACTACACGGTTCACAAGAGTGCGTATGATAACAACCACTTGTAATTCACAGTGAAAGAATTTATTCCAGTGTCTGACTTGAGCAAAAAAAATAACCCACAAATATGCAGTAAAAAACAAAATGATATTGAGATTGCTTCAACAAGTACTCAGACAACATAAAGCATGCGAACGTTTGGCGAAAATTAGAGTAACATTTACTGTACAGTATATTGCCTAGTGTAGACTAAACATAAATAGTTAAGGTGGAGTATCAATGACTTAATTCTTTGAGTACGATGACTTAACCGTTGAGTACAATGACTTATTCCTTGAGTATGATGACTTAACCCTCGAGTATATACGATGATCGGATGACTTACCCTTTAAATACGATGACCTGAGGTGCGACAGTCGTACTCAACGATTTATGTACTCAGGGCATTAAGTCCTGGTATTCAAATGGTTATAAGACAGAATCTAGTCATAGTACTCAAAAGGTTAAGTACTCAGTCATGTACTCGTATATAAAAAGCTATATAAGAATAATTACAAGACACCATTTGAAATAAACTTTAATATCCTCCAGCTTATTTCACATTTACCTATCTACATTTTTTTCTATTTAGTTATCAATCTAGTTATATTTATCCATCTATCTGGGAATTAAGTATTGTACGGTGAAGAGGATGTAGAAGTCTTGTGCGTATCTCTGCAAGAAGGAAATTACCCAGAGTACACAGGAAGTTGTTAGAGGAGCTTCCTGACCTTGACGTGTTGGTCACCGTCAAGTACTGTTACAGAACCAACCTCCGCGTGTCGCTACCGGCATGACAAGACGAACGTTATAGAGGAATCATTTGTATAACGGTCAAGTTCATGGATATCTGACCATGTTTTCATCTACCCACCCATTTATGTCACCTATTCGCACATTTATCGATTACATTACCCTCCTCTTGTCAATGGATACGGTAAAGAGGAGTCCCTTTGTTGTAAGCATTGACAGGTATATGTTGGCGGACGACGGCTCTGACTGGTTGAGTCACTAGCCAATGAGAGACTAGTAGCAAGCAAACATGGCGCACCAGGTAACACGGTCCTGACTCGGGATTTTCTAAAGTTCATACGATAAGTATTTCTCGTAACTGACGATGTATGAATTCATCTAAATGGTTGATTTAAGTTAAGACAATAATTACGTCCAAAAATAGCATCCAAATCACACTGAAATTCTACATTAGCGAGATACGCTCACATACCACTAGACAAAATTAATATAAAAAATCTTACCAACTGTTTTAGTGTTATTTCGTCTCCTAACCGGTGTTACGTGAACGCATTTAGTTAAGGTAGAATCTCGGTGTATTTCTAATGTTATTTTTGGATGTAATTTTACAGTTTTAGCTTAAGAACCCCAATAGAAATACCGAGAAGTTAGTTTTATTAGCGTTCTTGGACTAGACTTGGTAAAATCGACTGACTGACTGCCATTATATATGTACCTGCAATGTCTATGTACACACTGAACCACTGTAAACTTGTATGGCAATTTTATCTATCGATCACCTGAAAATTATCTCCGTTTAATTCACATGAAGTTCAACCACTCTAACGTTAACCTAATCTAACCCGCTCAGGTAGTTATAGGATGGTTATTCTTCAGGTGAACTTAAATGACAATTTTACGGAATCAACATTATGCTACCCATTAATTTTAACCATTTAAGTGTATTCTCAAATCTTCGCTAGCAAGGGATATTTACTTACGTTGCATATACAGTCATACACCAAACGAATACACACCTTCATTGCAGAGGAATATTCCCTTTAAAAATAAAACAATAAATCGCGATATAATATCTTACGTTAGGGGGATGAACCTCAAGTAGGGAGGGTTGTAGGGTTGTGGGTGCGAGGGTTGTGTGGTGGGTGTAGGAGGCGATGACGAAGATACACGCAGCCAAGCATACCCACACGAGACGTAGCCTTACTCCAGCCTCTCCCATCCCTAACCTGTGTGGGGCAAAGCTCTATTACAATGCTATACCAATCTATGCTACTCTCATTATATAGTACATAATAACATCTCTCGTACAGTACTGCATCTCCTATATAACTATACTATCATTATGATTATTTATACAATACATTCATTATAAAAAATCTAATGTCTATTAATTTCAATTATACCTGTCATTTAAACAATGCTACATCATTATAAAGTAGACTCTTATATACCATTTTTCCCACAAAATAAAAACTAAAGAAAAAATATATTTCCAATAATTCAAAAACCACATTAACCAAGTTAAAATGTATTGATTTGTATTTTTTTGTAATACCTTTAAGAAACTCGCTGTAATACGACTTCAGATTTACAAAACTACACATTAAAATGTACTTGCGGTTATCTTGCAATATACACACTTTAAATCAGAAAATCGGTCCAGTAATATTTAAAATTAACACATCCCTATTTCTCAACGCCCGTATTGATTATTTCAAATAAAATCCTCTGAAATAAAGAAGTTTCGAGTGGATGTCGGGAGAGACGTGCACGGTATAGTTCTCACTCCGGGGACCTACAACATACTGCTGCTGTTCCTGCTCGTGACTCCCGAGTGGTTTACCTGTCTACTGTCGCACAACAGGCAGTATGGTTGTTCTTGATTACCGGTACCGTTATTGAGATTACCGCCACTGATCAATGACAAATTTACCGTTTCATGACCTACTTACTTCACCCATCCTCTGGCACGAAAAGAGCTGAGTCACATATCATTAGTCTATTCCCAGTGACAAGCACGCCACCGAAAATTAATTTGTTTAGCATCAAAGTGATCTTAGCTCCTTGTCAAGCCAAGGGGCGATTCTCTCTTCGCCGCTTCGCGATAAATATTTTCCTTGTGGTTAATGATAGACTGTAAACCCATGTTATTAATCAATATATATATATATATATATATATATATATATATATATATATATATATATATATATATATATGTGTGTGTGTGTGTGTTTAAATTCCCATTACCAGTAATATATTTAATATATTAATTTCAATAAAACTTAAGTTAGTGGTTGGAGAATAAAACAAATATGGACCGTAAACTTCCTGACCTCTCGTACGTCTATGGGAAAGGGTCGCGAAAAGGGGACGTGATTGCTGCCCGTATCATCATTGGGTATGACTTTGCTTGGGAGATTGGTATCCCCGCATCCCCTGAGCAACGCTCTTGTGCATTATGCAGAAGACCCGACAGCAGCACCCTTATCCACTGCCTCCTAAGATGTCCCCACACACAACGCTTCCGTGACGCCTGCTGGACCACCACTCCACGACCCCCTGATGGAGACACGATGATCCTCCCCAAAGTGGCCAGATATTTTGTAAATAACATTAATTATGTGTTAAAGGAATATCCTTCCTTCCTGAGGCTTTAGTAAGCCCCTTTATAATATTTATACTGTATATACTTGTCACACTTGCCAGATGCTTCTGGTGTCATTGTACAGGGGTACCTAGTGACAGCACTAGGATCCCGCTTCCTCTATCAAGGAATAAACAATTGAAATTGAAATTGAACAAATATGGAAGCAAATTATAAGAAATCCACAATAAAGAAATGTCAATACTTTTTTATCTTCACTTTGACAATTTAAAGAGCATTTATTACGAATTTGATAATATATAACATTGTAAAGATTACCTGAATTACTATATTATTTGCACCAAACCGTTTTATGGTATCCTTTTCTAGTACTGGTACCCGTTTACAATTGGGAATACTTTTAAAAATCCTACATTGATTAGGGCGATCTTGATGCTCTTATGTATGTAATTACTGACTAATTGCCGCCACTCATCAACAAAATCTTTGTTACTGAGACTCAAACCCCAACACGATTCTCACGCTTAACTCTGCGACCCTTCCTAGTAAGTCTGCATATCAACAATATTAGTGGAGAATTCAAGACACCTGTACGATGGTTGGTAATGACAAATATATGAATATGTAATATTTATGTATGTATGTAAATTTAAAATTTTTAGATAAAAGATACAAAATAGTGTAATATTGTAGATAAGTAAATGTGTCTTGTGTTTACGTCTGTTTAAACCTAACAACTAACAGTGTAATGAGCATTGAGCAGTCGTCAGTCAGCTGGTGGTTCTCATTGTTGATTGTACTCTCCACTCCGCTCCTCCGGCCTGTAGTGATTCGTTTTCCCAACTAGTTACATTTATTGTTAGTTCAATGATTTATAGTACCCAGTTTGTAGATTTAATAATTATTACGCTTTGTTGTGTGTTTCAGGTGTAAGGTTGTGGATAGTTCTCGGGAAGGTAGTATTTTGAAGATGAACACCAGAAGGAATTGATAGAATTGGACGAAAATTTGTAGAAACGTTAATTGCAATGTATATTAAATCGTTAAATGGAAACGAGAATCCATTCACTGTCGTTAGGTATGTTTTAAACGGTTGTTCTGTTAAGTTAGGTTAGGTCAAGTTCTATTAAGGTCGTCCATTCTCGTTAACATTTATCTATATAGTAGATTTTAATTAACGTTTCCACAAAGTTTCATCAACCGGGCAAGTATACACAGCATTCATTTATTGTGTACTGTAGTATAACGGGTAATTTGGGAATGGTATAAACGGAACATTTTTAACCAATTAATCATTGTACAAAAGGCTGTTTTTATAAGGATCTTTAATGTTTTAATGCTTAGAATAAAAATCGACTGCAGAACCAGGGAAAAACAAGAGCTGCAATTTAGCTTTGTGGTTTTATCATTATTATAGAGAGGATCAGTATTAACTTACATGAATTATGTGTGTCGCCTTTTGGTGAATCTTATATTTAACAAGCATAAAATCACTAATGACACACGATTTTATTTGGCACAGAGGTTGAAATGAACCAAACAACCCTACCTAACCGTTTTTGCTATTTACACAAGAACTCTTCCCAGCCACCATTTCAAACTCACGAATACTTCCAATAATCACTATAAAATAGGACATACTGTCTTAGGATGGAAGTATATTATTGAACGTTAGGTTAGGGTAAGTTATGTGGGCTTCTAACAGATGTATACTGCCATGGTATTCCTTTCCACAACAAAACCCTGAGACAGCCATCAGGTTTGTCCTCCTTGAATCAATTCGGCAACGCGTCCATCCACGACAAGCCCCCGTTGCTGTGTTTTCTTAATGTACTGTGTATGGATAATACCACAAACTGCAATGATTACTATTTCCAGATTAAGAATGGCATCAACAGTCACAGATGTCGAAAACTCCAATACCCAATTAGGAGCTATGATGAAGCCGAATCAGGACATCAATGCCCCAAGTAAATATGGCAAGAGCTTAAGAGTTCACTGGATTATTATTAGGCGTCACTTTGTCATAGAGATATTTGCAGTAAAATTTTAGAACACAAAAGTGAGTTTTATACGAGGAGAGATTCACGTTTAATCAATTTTTAACCAAGTTACCAGAAGACAACATTTTTATTCAAGCTATCATAAGACATTGGTATTATAATTTGTATGCATTTTTATTAGGCACTGTAGTTCAAGATTTGTATTTTGAGAGGTAAATTTACTCTATAATATTACTAATAGTAGAAACTGGACTTTTATTCGAGTTTTAATTTTGCAATGATTTTACGATTTTATTATTGTGCACGTCAATATTTTTTAATCTTTACTGTACTGTACTGTTATTTGAAATGCATCCTGTATTTATTGTTTTAATGTATAATATTTACTACAGGGACATCACAGACCAAAATTGGGCTGTCTGAAGTTGGCCACACCAGCCAACGATCATTTGGTGATATTAGTAATAAAGTTCGGAGTTCTGTTAAGAAAATTAAAGATCAGAACACCTCGGCAGAAAGTAAGTAGAACATCTTTAATTTATGATTTATTTATATATAATCTTTATATGACCTTGTCTTTGTATTTATGGCTGGCTAAGTACAGTACAGGTGTTTTATTTGTGTGCGTAATCTAGTACATAGTGTCAAGCTGCTTTAGTAGGATAAATTTGTAAAAAAAAAAAAAGGTGCAAATTGTAGACACAGTGCAGTACATGTTGGCTAAAGCAGACAATGGAGAGATATTGTGAGTAAAGTTTATAGGTTTATTGTCCAGATAATTGTTTTGTGTACAATAGAAGAGTGAATGGGGTCCTATAACCTTCATCCAACATTATGACTAAATTTACTTATTTTTTTGCACAAAGTAACATCTTGTGGGAGTGAGCAAGTTTTTTTTGAGATCCAGGACACAACTCTCATTTTATCCTCCTCTCTTGAGAAGGGAATTTCAGTTTGTCCACACACTGAATGTACACACAATTTTCAAGATCACACTGTATCTGTAAATTGAGACCCCCCTGTACTGATCAGATTGGTTACTGCTGTATTGCCTGTACATACAGTATTGTACTTTACTGTAATTGTTCTTGATATCCTGATCTGTTCAATCTATAAGATCACCATCACTTAATGGTCACTTTCTATGCTTGTGAGAGTAAGCAACAACTGCATGATGGCATTGTCCAAATTCTCATCGGTCAAATTTGAAGCAAGTTTTACGGCTGGTTGTCTTTGCTATTGTCAGCCTATTTTTACAGGGTGGGAACTGGACAATTATATGTAGTACAGTGCTTCCAAACACACTCTTATCTGGCATTGCTGGGTTGCTACTCATGAGGTAACGTTTATTGTTCAAGAATGTTTTTTTTTTCAGAATTGCATAAAACTTTCTCTCTTGCCAAAGAGGAATCCATACCATCACCTGAATTCTTCCCAGAAATTGTGGAAACGGAAGGTAAGATATTTTTATGCTATAAAACCATACCAGTTGTTGCTTTAGTAATGCACCTGTAAAAATAATCTAAGTTTACTCCATCTAACAAAACTGACTGATGGATATAATAACACTGAAATATACATTAAATGGAAATGTTTCAGACCATCATAACTGAGAGACCTCAAAACGGATATTTCGCCATTACATCATTGTACAGTACTAACGGAGTTTCATTCATACAGTTTCACAACATGCCAACTCGTGTTGTTAACTATACAGTACAGTATATCTGATTTATGGAGTGACTCGGTAAATAGTACTTGATATTGGAGTGAACAGCTACAGCAATATATTGGTCTACACAGGATCTGCCATGTTAGTGATATGTAAATTTCATTGGTTTAACACCAAATTAAGGTTTTAGATCAGGGGACTTGTAAGCAACAGAACCCCCCAGTCCCCATAGCAAGACATATATGGTTGTAAGTTTCAGTGTGGCACCAGTTGTATCATGACGCCTAACTCATTGTGATACTGTGGGTTCACTCGCCCCAGTTCACTGTGTTATCTCGGCATCACATATACCCTATTGTGAAGGGCAATGTTAGCACCTCTCATATATTGATATATCCTCGATAATTACTCACACCATTTGATGTAAGATCCCATTAATGATTGGTTAACATCGACATTCACTCAGTCGTGTAATATATGACCTGAATCCTCGGAGGGTTCACACGTCGAGTAACATTGCTAGGAAAGCCTCAAATCACTTCGATCTTGTGGCTAACGATACTTTTGGGGGGGACTGTACAGGTTTACCTAAAAGGGGCCCTGAAAAGTGTATCAAAGTAGAACTCCACACTGATAAAATAAGACTACAGTATAGTCTGGTTTTATGCGGTTAATTAAACTCATGGAGGTCCGCATATAAAGTGAAAAGTGTAAATAAAATAACAGAACCTAAGGGATTAATTGAAATAGAGACTGGGCCGACCGCCAGACTCGCCCTTTTTTTGGCTGTCGCTGACACAATACTGTATATTGTAGTAAAAATAAAATCTTAATTTTATGATGGTATGCACACACAATATATAAAAGAAATATCATTAATATTAGGCGGGGAGGGGGGGGGCGTGGGTGTTAAGGATAGGTGGCCCAATCACAGTCAGCTCCCTGCACCTCACCCTGCCGCGTACATGATGGAATTTACCGTGTAAATAATAATTATCTCTTCTGACAGGTGCCGCGTAAATGGCCTTCCACGTAAAACCAGACTATACTGTAGTACTGTATAAAATATACAATCATTTGAACTTTAGTTTTGAATAGCTAGGGATTTTCTGAAGTGTTTTATTTCTTTCAACCTGTTAAATACTTTTGTTGACAAGCTAATTTGTTTATAATTAAAATACAAAATGATTGAACTATTATACAGCATGTCAAGAAGAGCCATTTTTGAGCCTATTGTCCCTTTCCATCAACAGATTACTATGATATCATCCCTCCAGCACACCGGTTAACAGACCAGGAGCTCTCAAACTTTGTACAGTTCTGGAAAGTGAGTCATGAGCCTAAAATTAGTGAACTTGACTTCATGGATTCTCCAGTTAAATCCAAAGAAGATCTTGCATTAATGAGCCCAATTAAAGGTATGAAAAAATTGTTTGACCTACTAGAATTAATATACATAGATACTGTACATAACTAGCCTTAAGCAGCTACAGTCTATATACAGAATTCTCTTTATTACAAGTGAAATCTTAGCAAAATTGAGGTTTTGTGAGGTTGTTCCAGACCTTAAACCCCATAATTATGTTGTTCCTGTGTGGGGAAATGGCTATCAGGTTCCAAACTGGTCCTTTGGTTCCTAACCCATTAGTTAAGGTGTTCCTATAATGTAGGTGATGCTCTCTGTTTCATAAGTCCTGTCTAAATGAGGACATTAAGTCACAGGGTTTGCATAATAGTTTAATTTTTTTTTTTATATAACCTGTATAATTATAGTCCCGTAGCTTTATTTACTTAATCTCTTCGCAGCTAATCACCTTAATAGACAGTCAGGCAGTTAGGTAATTTTTCATACGATAAGCATTAATTAGACCCAATGAGAACCAGATCATAGACTAATTATCTTGAGTCAGTAGTTCCTGTGTTATCCTTGTATACTGTATTAGGTTAAATTAAGTTTGATTAATTGGTGTTTACCCCCTAGACTAACAATAAATTAACCTTCAGAAAAGATGACACCTGTCTGCTTAAGTCCGCTGTTTGATCATGTGTTGGACCTGCCGCCACCACCATGGGAGTGAATACTGCTTTGTGTGATGCAGTGAAGGTCAAGTACAAGGCAAACAAGACATTTCGTCAGTGTCATTTGTAGTTGATTTAGTATACAGTATAAACAATATATTTCCTAAGTGGATATGGTGTCCCTATACACAATACTTTGAATTGCCTAATCTGTATTTGATGCTTGAGAAATACCTGAGTAATATAAAAATCTGACTATATCCTGTGTAGTATATCCTCAGTTTTAATATGGTACAGTTTTGGAAGATTTCCTTTTACTGGTAGGCATTTTTATGATGCAATAACTCTATTAGATGAAATTTATAATGTGTAAATTTAATTTTGATATAACTTGTAGTAATTAGGCTTAGAAGGGTTAAGTATGTAGCTAATGCAGGTGTTGAATAAGGAGGTCAGTGTCTTGGAATCTGTTTGCCTAACCCATTCTAAATGTGTTTATTAAGGAGATGCAGTTTTTCAGTTAAAACAAACTATAAGTACAGTATTAAAAGATGATTTGGATATTAGCTAAAGGGTTAATGTATTGTGAAAGGAAGAGTTTTAAAACATTAACTATCATGAGGTGAACAATCTGAACAATTTTGTGTGAATCATGGTCTTTAAAATGAGGTAACATGGTGCATCGTGCTCATACAGTACAGTACAGGTATGTGGTTTAGTTGCAAGTAAATGTGCTTGACGAAGATTATTATATGGACAACGAGGAAAGTGTCTTCTATACGTTTCCGATCTGATTTTAATAACATATACCTTGTACTGTATTGTAAAACACATTTAAATGCAAAAAATACCTGGTATTTGTTTTCTTGTTATTTTAGTCGGAAATCGTTTTCTTAATACAGTACAGTAATGCCTTTTAAGGCGATTTTTCGCTTGTGATATATAGGGTAGTGCTTTTTAGCCAATTAATCATTAAAATTTAAGTCACACATGCAGCATGGAGATATGAATATTTTTATAGAGATAAATATGTACGTTTTCTTATTGTAAATTTTGTAGCATGTTTCTGAAGCATTGTATAATTATGAATAAAAGATTTTATTTTACTGTGTTATTAATTATCTTTGAACTGAACCCACTTCATTTGTATTGACCATTGCATAATTAAGTATTTGAGAGCAAACTGACACTTGAGATTATATAATAAATCTTAAGGTTATACTCAATACATTAGATACAGTACACAAGTTTTTAGATACTAAGATGCAAGGATTATGTATAATTAAAATATTTAAAGAATATTTTCAATAAGACAAGATACGTTTGGAGAGGGTATCGCAGTCATAAATCATTCTTGGTTGTAGTGTTTTATATATATACCGATAAAACAACTCTCTCCATCGTTACGCTGTTGGCTTTCATTTGTTTTCATAAACCTTTGACTTCACATATAATTATATATAAAAAAATCCCCAAAATACAAATAAATATGTAACTAAATATTCAAAACTACTAAATAAGTGTTTTTATTATATATATATTTTTATCGAGGTAATGTTAATGATAGGAAGATTTATAACGTCAACGGTCCAACAGATGACAACAGAGTCAGACGAAAACAAACTAGGAGGATGGCAGGTGATCGTGACCAATGTCTTTCTGATTATCGGCGGCGGCTTATAGAGCATCGTGAAGTTGACTCTAAATTGAGAAAATGTAAGTAAAGGCTACTAGATCTTTATACTGTATTGTGAGTTTGGCTGAGGAAATATTTACAGGGTAGGAACACTAAGAGGTCGTGAGTGGTGGCAGTATGAGTGAAGAGCAGAATGACGATAAGTTAATATAATAAACCTCAAGTTTAACCGAGTGATCCGAATAATATAATTATCTATAAAATATTGATATGTGTTGGCAGAATTGTTACATGCATATTCAATTAGAATACGTTTCCAACCATACATACGATTTTACGACAGTACTGTATTTATCGCCACCTATTAGTTAGTTGTCCAAAACCCACCAGAAAACATCAAGCTAACCCAAGAGCTTTTACTTAACTGTACAGCTCAAAAAATACTGTAGTTAATGATATCTCTATAACGTTAATTAGTTACTTAAGAGTTCTGTAGTATGAAAAAATATCAGAACGTAATTATTTTGTTTTGTTAATATGTGCAGGATTTAAGCTTTAATATTTGTCTATCTCAATAAGATCTTTAAATAATAATCTCATAGACTGTAGGATGACATCTCACTTATATTATTTGTTGATTAATTTTATATGATAACCTTCCCTTCCACTCTTCCTCTGTCCCACCCACTCTTCCTCCTTCCCACCCACTCTTCCTCCTTCCCACCCACTCTTCCTCTGTCCCACCCACTCTTCCTCTGTCCCACCCACTCTTCCTCCTTCCCACCCACTCTTCCTCCGTCCCACCCACCTCCTTCTCCTTCCCACCCACTCCTCCTCCGTCCCACCCACTCCTCCTTGGTTGTCAACAGTGAGAGAGGAAAAGAAGGAGCTAGATAAGCAGTATGACAAGAGTGAGAATGATCTCAAGGCCCTACAAAGTGTGGGCCAGATTGTGGGTGAGGTCCTGAAGCAACTCACTGAAGAAAAGTTTATTGTGAAAGCTACTAATGGACCTCGTTATGTGGTGGGCTGCAGACGTCAACTTGATAAGGGTAAACTGAAGGTTAGTGACAAATGATGTTTAAATTATATAGTAGTAAATGTTATGTTATATATATGCAGTAGTATACCAGAAAACATCTCTTACAGCAGTCAGTGATTAACTTAACAGAGAAGGAATAGAGAGGTTATTCTTTTACTAGAGTCAGGTCACCCTGTTCCATAGTGGGAAAAGGCTTGAAATAATCAAAATATATCGATTGATTCTTTACACATTTCAACCTAACCATACAGTTATCTTCTTCAGAGAAACAGCTAAAGACAACTTGAGTAAATTGAAATGCATAAGGATTAAATTGTCTACTCCAGTTCACTGTTTCCTTTGCCACTACCATATTCAATTCAACCTGCCTAAATGACTTATCGACCTGCCTAAATGAATTATCATAACAGAATGTCTGGTTTTTAGTCTGGTACACGAGTGGCGCTGGACATGACGACCCTTACCATCATGAGGTACCTCCCACGTGAAGTTGACCCCCTAGTGTACAACATGAGCCATGAAGACCCTGGTGATGTCACATACAATAAAATTGGTGGTTTGGCAGAACAAATCCGAGAACTTAGGGAGGTAAGTCAGAGGTGTATCTTGAATTTACTTAAGATTGTAAGTATATAGAAAAGTAGGCAGTATCATAAAGTAATATCTTCTTCATAAAGTGTCAGTTTTTTTATAACTTTGTCTTTGATATACCATTGGTGTGTGTTTTTCAGCTATGTATATTATAGTCAAGATGTTCTATATTTATAAGAAAATGTATATAAAGTTGATTTAAAACTAATGGGCAGAGCGTAATTGACTTTTTAAATATTCTATATACCTTTAAGTTTTTCAAATGTCATTAAATGAAATGATACAGATGTTTGAAAAAATAACCGAAAATGACATTACATAACCTTATAAGCACATTTTTGGGATCATCATAATGTTAAAGAGAAAGATTGTTGACATATCATCTCTTACATTAATATTTTATGTATAAATGTTTTTGGTGCATTATTTTTCATGGTTTCTTTCTTGCAGGTGATTGAACTGCCTCTGCTTAATCCAGAACTCTTCCATAGAGTGGGAATAAATCCACCAAAGGGTTGTCTGCTTTATGGTCCTCCTGGCACAGGGAAGACACTACTTGCACGTGCTGTTGCCTCACAGCTGGATTGCAACTTCTTAAAGGTTTGTCACAAGTGTCATATATATTACTTGAAAGTTATTATAGACGTAAGAAAAGGATGCGAGCTTCGTAAGTTGATTTTGCAAGTTTTATCTCTTAATGCAGTGGATAGAGTAATACCCAAATTTAAAACCAGAAGGAAGATGTATAGATATACTGATATGGTATAACTTACTAGCAAAATTATTGCCTAGTCTTATGTGCCATTCACAAACAATTTGTAAGTCTTCAATGATTTCTCTACAATCCTCCTTTATTTCCAGGTTGTATCTAGTGCAATTGTAGACAAGTACATTGGTGAGTCAGCTCGACTTATTCGTGAGATGTTCAACTATGCTCGCGACCATCAGCCATGCATCATATTCATGGATGAGATTGATGCTATTGGAGGAAGACGATTTTCTGAGGGAACATCAGCTGATCGAGAGATTCAACGCACGCTTATGGAGTTACTCAATCAAATGGATGGCTTTGATTCCTTGGGTCAGGTTAGTGCTTGGTGTTGTGTTTTGTGTAACTGTAAAGTCTGTTGCTCTCTTGTACAGTAATTTGTATCTTTTATGTTGAAATTGGAGTGCCTGTAATATCGGTAGTTGGCACAGCTCACTCACGTGATTTTTGTAACATTAAATGGAGTCACTTCTGTAATGCTTAATGCCATTCACATTATCACCCATTAGATGATAGTATTCTCTCAAGGCTATAGATCTGCTGCTTTGAACACATCACTGTTCTTTATTTTATTTTCCTTTTTTTTTCTCACATTTCTTCCATATTTGTTTTGGCTTCCTCATTCTTAATATATACAATGTGCTTCAGGTGAGAACAAGACCAAGCAACAAAGTGGTCTGAGATGAGTTCATTATAGTTTTTTATCAAAATTTCTAAACTATAACTGCATTTTCTGATTGCCTGTATGTGTGAGAGAGAACAGGAGGAAACTCCTCAAAAACTTAGACGTCTTCGTCGACATTATCTGTAAGAACGAGGGATCGGTCAGACTATGGCAATTACCATGTGATCCATAGTTGGCAAGATTATCGCCAGAGTCATCCTAAACAGACTCCTTCCTTGGATGAAAATTTTCCTTCCAAAATCTCAGTGTGGCAGCCTGCTAGACAAGAAAAGTGCAGAGAACAGCACTGTGATTTGGATCTTCATTAATCTTACTAAGGTCTTTGCCTCAGTCAGCAGGGAAGCCCATTTTGATCAAAACTCATCTCCACTGTGAGGCAACTCCATAATGGCATTGTTCTGTGTAATGGCACCCAGTCTGAGTTTCTTCCCCATCAAAACAGGGGTAAAAGTGTATTGGCACCAACTCTCTTCCATTTTCTTGGCTGCCTTCTTTACTTGTGCCAGTGCCCTCCTGCACTAGATGTAGCCCTTAACTTGTGGAACATCTGCAGAGGGCCTTGCCAGTCCTGTATCGGCCTCTCAAGCCACCTCAGAGATCGCCAACAGAGGTGATGTAATAGCTATTCTTGATGGTCGTCATACTCGATTCTGAGTGATGGCAAAGTAGTAGTAGTAGTGTGTGTCACTTGTCTACTTCTCCCCTGCAATACTTTATATATTCATCTGTGAATATTTCATCATTTAATTACTGCATGTTACAGTTTGTACATTTTTAGACATTAATCCTGAACAACTTTGTGATTTAAGTCTTTACATTATGGTTTGATATCCAAATTAATCTGCTATTGTTCATCTGGCTGTCAAGGATCACACACACATATTGGTGGTTTTGTCGTTGGTATATTATAAGGGTCAATATTTCATGTCATTTCTCAGAGGAGGCTCTTAGATGTCCCACTTCTCTTTCTTTTCTTTTTTTCTATAGCTAATATTTTCACAGAATTGAGAGTGAAGGATGGGATGAATGGCTCCTGTCACCTTGCTGGATTGTGTATTAATGGTTTAAAAGACAAATGCCTATTTTATATCTTTCCAGAAGGCCATCACCCTCAAAATAAAATAAATTTTTCCCATTTCCAGGTAAAAATGATTATGGCTACCAACCGTCCAGATACTCTTGATCCGGCCCTGTTGCGTCCTGGACGTTTGGACAGAAAAATTGAGATTGCTCTCCCTAATGAACAAGCTAGGTTGGAGATTCTCAAGATTCATTCTGGACCAATCACAAAGCGTGGAGAGATTGGTATGTATTTGTTCTTTTGACCAATGTTATTGTCTTTATAAAAACTATCAATGTAACTAATTTAATGTACAGTAAGGCCCTGCTTAATGAGCATTGTGCATTTATGAAGAGTGCTCATCGGATGAATTCTAATTCAGTAGGATCCATTTGCCCATGGGATCCAATACTAATGTTGGAGAATTTCCACATTTTCTTGAATGCAAAGCACTTTGTTTACTTATTGCACTGCTACATTCAGTTTGATAACTTTGGCATTTGTTTTAAGACATTTTAAGGGCAGCACACCTGGTTAGAATTTACAATGCCTTCTGAGTGAATGAAGAGCACAAGTATATACAGCAGTTGATACTATCTATGCCCAGAAAACAAAACTCACCAAATTGTACAAGTACTGTGCTATACTATTCTATCTATATGTGGAAAACCAATATACTGTATAGCATTTTACACATCTATATGTAATCAAGCACGCCCAAATGCTCGTACATTCATCACTGACCGGTTGACCTTACTGCACTATAATACCAATTGTTTTCCTTTCAGATTATGAAGCAGTGGTTAAACTCTCAGATGGCTTTAATGGTGCAGATCTCCGTAATGTGTGCACTGAGGCAGGTCTCTTTGCTATCCGGAATGAGCGAGATTACGTCATAGAGGAGGATTTCATGAAGGCTGTACGTAAAGTGTCAGACAATAAGAAATTAGAAACTAAATTAGATTACAAACCACTTTAAATAAAAACAAGGTGTTGGTAATGGATCCCAAGATATAATATTCAGTGAAGGAAGTAATGCTGCTATGGCTATTATTTTGAGTTGCAATGAATTTGTTCTTATGTTACCATCAAGTTTAAAACAAACATTGCCAGATACCTTGAGTTTCCTTTGTTATAACAAGAGATTTAATTTAATATATGTATCTTGAAGTTTTTGTTCTAATTTTCATATTATTATAGGTAGAGGTTCAAAAGTTATTGCCAAAAAGTAAAGAAGCTTTTGTAAATACTTTTATTTTTTCTTAACCTTATGTTACACCTCATAGGAGGCAATATATATTGTGTGTGCTGATAACCACATTGGAAAAAAGAAAACACGAAGTTCCCAAGCGCTTTCGTGTAATTCCCACCTTCGGGGGCGAGTACGGTGATTTAGTTTGTATATAAAGGTTTACTAGTGGCAGGTCCTCATATAAAAGAACTACCAAACATTTGCCATGTGGTCTGAATAATCAAGGCAATTGCAATACGGTACAGTATATGAAAGTAAAAAAAGTATTTAAGTGTATCTAACACTACAACATATAACTTTCTTAATGTATCACAGCATTAACAGTACATATCATGTCCATGTACTCCCATCATTTAGTAGTCTGTTACTGGACTATTTATATCCATAATTGCATTTCTTTAACTTGTGTTACCAATGTGAATTATGGAGTAACACTCTTGTTTTTTGCATCTTTAAAATTTTCTTCTTTTTCACTGTCAGTATTATTTCTTTGCACTTTTCTTAAACCGTCCGTTTCTGCTGTTTCCTCTAAACATGACAGATCTTCTATGTCAGTATTTGGTTCCTGAGATATAGTTTGTCTCTCATCTCGGTTTATTGTTTCACTTTCAGGTACATCATCCATTTTGATGATCTTTGCATTATTTTGGGCTTCTAACAGTCGATATCCCAGACCTTGGCCTCTTTTATCTCGTGGGAAGCGAGATTTCATGGATGCTCTTTCCTGTTTTGTCATTAAGGAGGCTTGGAAAAACTTCTCACGAAACGAAGCGGTCAGGTCTGTGACTTGGGCAGTGGCTGTTTCCCCTTCCTGTAAAATAATGAATTTTAATGTAAAGTTAACTGTAAATCTTCACTTCACCTCTATCTTGTGTACAGTAATATCTCTTGTTAACCTGAACTCTTCAATTCCCAGAATTGAAATTGGCTTGTAATTTCTCCAGAAAAATTCTCTCTATCTTGGGTCTGTAAATGAATTTCCGAGATTGAATATCAGGCACATTTTATGAGAATACTACTGGAAACACGCTCCAAATTTTGTTCCAGGTCTAGGTGCATATTCCGAGGATTAAATAATACGTAATTCCGAGAAAATTACGGAAGCTCTCCATCTTCATGGGCGAATAATCACCCCTGAGGATGTGAATTACACAAAAGTACTTGGGAGCTTCATGTTTTCTCTTTTCCGATGTGGTTATAAGCATGTACACACAGCAAAAAAAGTACTGCACGGATTATGTGAGAAACAATATGACACCACGGACGAGGGATAGTGGAATATGTGTGTTGGTCCTGTGGTATGGTGGTGATGTATGGATCATTACGGAAATCAGCAGACTCCCTGCACGAAAATTTTTTTCACTGTGTACAATATATTTTAAATGAAACAAAATATACTACTGTATGCACTATACTGTCATCTCAGGCTTGTGATGCAGGCAGGCCAAAAGGTGATATGATGATACAGGATGGCCTGCCTTTGTCCTGTACCATCTACTGTAGCAGGTGTTGCTAATTGTCACTCTTCTCTCTGTTCATGGAGGGAGTGTAAACTATACATACACCTCTACACACTAGCCTACAGTAGGCATACTCTGTCTACTCTGCTATGTACAGTGCTTTAACATTTACTGAATGTAGAGTACAGTATACGTAACTTGTAATCACTTTTTACATCTAACGCCGTATTCTTGGCCGATTCCTTCCTAGTACAGTTTGTACTGCGTAACACAGACTATGTAAAAACAGCATCAAACAAGCGAACAACCTTGTACAAAGGCAGCAGAAAATGTACTAATCGCAAGTTACCCAAGCGGTCAGCCCAGCATGGTACAGACACTCAGAATTTTTTTTACACTCTTTTTTTATGGCTTCCTTGTTTCCTGAGGTTATTTGATGCTCTCAAGCTACATCCCTATATTATGATCTGCCATACTATTCACTCTATGTATAATCTATTTAATTATACTGTGTTTATTAAGGCTTACCTGAGGGTGTCTTGTCTTGCAGAAGGTAACAAGGCGCCTGCTGGAGTGTACAGTTAGCACTTGTTCACTATTGAAGAGAAGCTCCAGACATGGGTGACTAGGTATCATACTTTCATGGTAGTCTTCCCTTCATGAAAAAAAAAGAAGATAAAAATGCTTTACAAAATTGGAATTAATGTACAGTGTACCTCATTAATAACATTTGAAATTATAGGAAAGGATACTAAACTAAATAGTATGAATTTAATTTTTTTTTTACAATTATAGCACCAAAGTGGTATGGTTATATAAAGAGAATACATTACATAAGTACTGCTCTAATATCTTACTGACCTGAACACTGGCAGCCAAAACACAAGTCTGCCGCCAATCACTAAATGAATAGCAGCAAAGTTGATCAAGTCCCGAAAAATATCCGAAAGACTGTATGTAATCTTGGATGGAAAGTGGTGAGCAGATGATGATTGTTGCTTGGATCCATCCTCAAAATCTTTTGGTACTTTGAGGGATCCCACACATTCTATTGATTCCCGAATTCCATAAGGGGCTGAAAATGTTCAAAGAGACATGTAATGCTGAAGGTCCTATGACAAATATAGTGTCTAAAGCAAGATTGAAATTCCATATATTCACTCAACAGTTTCCAATACATAATTATTTAGTAACACAGTAGAACCTCTCTAGTTCACACATCTCTGGGAACAACTGTTTGGTGAATGTGAGACTTACAACATGGGTGTAATGGGCCTTGAAACCATTAATCCAAAATATCAAGACCAAAAGATCATAAACAAATTATCACATACATAGAAGGAACCAATGACCATTAAAACCCAAATGAAACATAAGTGCAAGGCAATATGGTGATGTATACTGAACTGTATATACAAATGGGTAGCAGAGGGAACAAAAGGCGAGCAACGAATCAAGTAAATGTGAGGTTTTATAGACAAATTATAACTAGTTCCTGCAAGCAGTCTCATAACATGTATGCTTTCACTTTTTAGCAACAGAAAATGAAACAATAATGAACAACAAAGAAATCCTAAATGATTACTATATTCTAGGACATGCAATAAACAGGAAAACACCAAAATAACATTGAAATATGAATTGACATTTCCTAAAAGATAGTAGACGAGAGACACGTTCCTCCACAGTCAGCACCATGGTGTGACTAAAACTAACCACTGCCAGAGAGAGAAGCCACTGATGGGTGAAGTAGACTCAGTGATAACCTGATAATTCACCAGAGAGCGACTTGCATGCATGCAGGCTAACATAAATAATCTTCACAATGTTCAGACCATTCCTACTGATTTTTAAGTTCCTGTTTATCATACGTCCTACAATTTAATCAATTAGGGTTCTCGAATAAAAAAATAATCCTGTACTGTATTAAAAATGAGTAGTTTCATCACTATCAAGAAAAAGTAATGAATGTTCAAGAGGTTTTGAGTTTTACTAAAGATAAAACTAAAACTTCGATATAAGTGAATCAACGAAACCAATATCTAGAAAGATACTTACGGTCAGTAATGATGGCATCAACGTAAGGGACACCTCTCCAACATGGCCTTGCATTATCCATTACGACAACATCCACGTACTGATGCTCTAACCCATATTGTTTAAGGTTGCTAAATATTGACTCGCCTGCTTGACGCTGCTTCTGTAAAAGTACACAGTTATTTAGTTATGACCTGTGATTCATTACTGTTTAGCAGATATAGCAATTCATTCATTCATTCATTTATTTACTGTTTTAATATTTGGACCCATGAGGTGATAGAGGAGGTGATGGCAGTCAGAACACATCCAGGGAAGAAAACTGAGCAAGGACACAGGGGATAGTGTAAGGGAAAATAAACAGACTGGAAAGCTTTGTTAAAATGTCTGATTTAGAGGTTTATTCTTGTGTTATAATTAAAACCATACAAAAATAATATAAAACTGAAGACCAATATAAAAATAAGATGTGACAGTTAGGTGGAGAGATTAGGGTCTGCTCAAGTGGTATGGTCGTGTAATTCAGAGACGGACAGAAGACCAAAGCAGAGACCGACAGAAGACCAAAGTAGAGACGGGTAGAAAACCAAAGCAGAGACGGAAGAATGGGGTTGAAGACCATAATAAATAGCACAAGAACAGACATACAGAAAGCAGAAGCATGCATGAACAGAAAGCACAATGTTGAGCAATTTTTAGGTGATGGATGCTGCCTTACATAAAGCAACGAGATGTAACCTTATGGAGGGGAGTACTCTAGCAGAACAAATGTTTTATTTCAGAAAGAATGAAGGGAAAGTGTGTGTGTACAGTATCCACTCTTCTCTCCATCTGTCTTACATTGACAGGTGAAATAATTGTATGAAAATAACAATACAGAATATTGTATCTTAATTTATAACCACAGTATTACCTGGCTATGACGAGTAGGCTTAGTCCGAGCATGTAGTGTGAGGTAGTCAATGTCCCAACCCCACACATACGCCCCGCAGTGTGCAGCTGACACCAATATAGATCCTGTGGCAATCAAGAGGAAAATTTCAAGATAAAAGAATTAAGTAAGTGATTCACATTTTAAATTACTATTCTGACTTATCTAAGGAAAGCTGACTGCTAATGTTCTGAAGTTTATTTTAGGATTTTAATGCTTGTTGAATGGAAAACATTACTTTAATTCTACATGCCCCATCACATTCTGATTTTGAGAAAAGGTTATAATATGTAAGGAAATAGATCAACAATAAATAATTTAGAAAATTGTAAATTCATTATAATCCATCTTATTTTCTTTATGATCTTGGTTCTCATTAACATACCAGAGTTTATAGAACCTGTAAACTGTAAGGTGGTTCATATTGAAGGGCTTCCTGGCCACTAATAGCCACTTTATGTAGCCACTTTATTAAGAGTGAGTTTTAAATTTGGCCAGCTGACAAAATTTATACACTGACCATTTGTCATAATCATCAAACAGCTAACAATAAAGTAGTGTAGGTGTATTTATTTTATATTTCCAGAAAAGGAGAATAGGAAGACCATTTTTTTTCAATCAGACTTTACAAAATTCAGGGGTATAACTCAAAGGAAACATAAATTACACCTGTTTCTGGACTCCTCTTTGTCTTTCTCTCCCCCATCTCTTCATACAGTTTGTTTACACTTGGGTAATAATGAAATAAAATACAGTATACAAATAAAATAAGAGAAATAAACTCATACCTGTGCCAACAAAGGGATCAACCACCACATGACCAGGCTGAACTTGTGCACAGTTAGACATGATAAATGCCAGCTGGGCATCCATTGATGTACTACCAATGTAAGTTCTTCTTTTGAGTGAGAACTTGTCGATCAACTCCCGCTGACCCTCTACCACCCATCGTCCCAGGAAACTCTAATGGTGTGGAGGAAGTATAATACAGTATTAGGTAAAATGTGAGGAAAGTTAGAAGACATACACTACACTTCCCTGGTTAATTGCCCATACTGTACTGTACAGGTGAAGTTTTATTATCTGGCATTTAACTAATTGAAAAGTTCTTAAGTCTATAGTTCTCAAAATCTCCCAGTACATAATACATACTCTTTGAGTTGAGTAAATTACTGCTTACTAAATGTTTGATCACTGCATTTTAGCAGGAAAAAGCTTACAAAAATGGAAAAATGTGAAGTGTCTTACCTTAAAGGGAATTATTGGGACCTCATTTGGTTGTAAGCCATAATATTCAATAAGGTGAAGGCAGGTGTCAGCCTTCTTTAGATTCACACTTCCTTCAAAAGGCAGAAAACTCAGGGACTGTGAAAGAAACATGGAAATTTAGTTCCTGTGAAATTGCAATCATTCGTTTTTTTTTTAATTTTGAATCATTAATATACAAAATATAAGACCCTTTTATAATAGCAAGTATTTCTTACAACTGACTATAATTTCAGAAGTGCATCAAAAGAATTCTCCAACAAAAAAAATTTCAAATATTAAATACAATGTCATTCTTAACCTACAGTAAACTCCTACAATATGATTACTATAATATTACTACAGTACCATAAATCAATAAATCAGTCTCTTCCATGAGTTTAAAAATTTTGTAGCTTAACATACACAAATTTTCTCACACCAACAAAAATGAGAAAAGCAGATATTAACAGACTAGAGCTGGGGTTTAAAAGCTATTGGAGGATTCATACAAGATATTAAAAAGGTTACTAGGAATAATTACATGACTGTGTGTAGCTGGGAAGTCTATTATCGTCACTCCTCTTCCTTTACGTAGCTGGATCAAGGGATACATAAACCTCCAAAAAGGTGGAAATAATAATAAAGAATGATGGAAGACAAGTGTAGAATGTGACAAAAATAGGCTTGGACAACACATGAGACACACACGTACATTCTCACCTCAATCTTTTTCAGTTTCTCGGAAATACTGAGAGTCTTATTGAATGATTCCACGCGAACTTTGAATGTCTTCTCTTTAGCTAAATGTGGCTTCATCAAGTTGTTTGGGAAGGACTTCACACTTGCGTGGAGTTCTGCTTCATTCTCTCCCTGACCCCTGCAGAAATTAGCTATTATAATGGATGTGAATGACTGACCATCAAGCAGTATTGAGTGATTTTTGGGGCCTGCTAGTAGGTAATGTTGGGATGTATGACCTTAAAGTGGTCAGCCAGATAAATACTTGGAGTCTTGTTGTGGAAAGGGAATAACATAACAAAACACACGTTACAACACTAAGAATTAATAAACGACAGAAAATGACGGTCATGAAAAAAAAATATATAAAATTTATGGAGTTTTGCTGGGTATCATAATTTAACTCATTCCCAACATTAATCAGGGACGACCTGTATCAATCTATTGATCACTGGTCAATGGGCCAATGTTCCATTGGTTTCCAGTCGTAATGGTTTGGTTAGGACTGATTTGGACTGATGTCAATTGGTCAAACACTCCATTCCAAGTTAATAGGGTGGAACAGGCTTACAAAAAACACAATAATAACAATAAAATAAAATACAGAATATCAGAACATAAACTGGCTACAGCAAATAGATTTAATTTTGCAAAACTTACCATAATTCAAAACACGACCGCACTAGCATGCTTCGTGACATTAATTTTCTGGCATCATTCTCACTGTTCATCTCCAAGATCACATATGGCTGAAAAAGGAAATAAAGATTGAGTAATATAACATTTATGTGAGATTCAACATAAGTGATTTCATATGTAATTCCCCAATAAGCATTAATACAGCACAAGGGCATTACTAATCCCCCTCTTTCCTCAGGCATAAAAAATTAAAGTTTTGACTGCAGTAACCTCATTGACTCTAAACGGAAAAGCTGCTATTTGTTATAAAGTTTAAGCAACCTGAATTGAGGTGACAAAGACAAAATACAGTAGCCATGGAGCCGTTTTTCTTACTTAGCACCCATTATCCCTTTAGGCCAAGTTACAGAAAATACAGTACCTGTACTTTATTTTAGGTCTTAATATGTATCATACTATTATCGTTATACCTGCAATGCTAATTCAGCCAAGTGGTTCCCAAGATACTAATATTAATTATTTTTCTATATCCACACCCAACTTGTTTCTGGAATCAAATACTGTACAGTCACCCACAAAAGTCCTGTTGCATATCCAATTGTTCCATGAACCTCGAGATTCAAACTCATGAACTCGAAGCAGTAGACACCTGTGAATTATTTTGTCCATAAATACTTCGGATTTATGAATCGGAATCTCGGGGTTCGTGGTTCAGGGGAGTCAGCGCTTGTCTGGCCAGAGTGCAATAAAGAACAAAAATCTTTAAGTTTATGAACCCTTCCTTATACAGTATGTCAATATTAGTAATTAACTCACATCTTCCTTGGGTTTATCAATCCATGTGATGGGAATGTTAAACATCAAGGCAATGGACTCAAGTTCCTGAAATGGAAATTAATCAGCTGTAAATCACACTATTTCTAATTTGCTATCCATGTGTAAAGAACAGTACTGTATGGATAAAACCTAGTTGTATATGACAATTTACAACAAACATCAACACATTTGTAATATATTATAAAATAAGTTTAGATTAAAGAAAACTGCACATGATATGAATCTGTAAGATGTCATATTTCTTTTAATGAAAAAGCTTTGTAATAATTCACTTTGAGGATTAAATTTGGAATGGGGAATCAGTTATCCTTGGTGTTTGAGCTTAGTTTTCTTACACAGTCAATATAATGTAGACAAGTTGTACTTACTGGTAGTCTGAATTCTATATGTTCATTTGCACACCATAACAAGTATCTCCGGGTTGTCTGAGTACACATGGTGGATGTAGCTGCCATCATCAAGGTTCCAATGTTTGATTAGTTTCCTTCCTACTCTTCTAAAGTCTTCAGAAGAATTAATTTACCGGATCATCAACAAATCTCTCATATTGCTGGAGCTAATACCAAGTCAACCTGTCAAAGGAGCAGAGATTATATTACTGAAGCACTAGTTAATGAAATTTATTATACAGTATATACAGTTAAAGAAATGGTATATACCAAGACAGCTGTCAGTGCTAAACTTGAAGCCACTGATGTAATTATCAATTTCAGAACTGAGTTGAGTAATATTTTTCAATAATTTTAGGAGTGCTGAAAGTACACAAGCCACAGCCTACTTGCTACTGTGTTAAACTATGACACATCTAAAACACTATAGTTACCTTCTATTTCGTAAGGGAAGAGAAAATTATTGTCAAGTTAGCCCACTGCTTGTCCTCTTGGCAGACTGTTTTGGTTGGATCACAGCAGACAAACAGAAACAGGTGGCCTTCCCAGGCTGAGGAAGAATATGTGTAAATTATATAATAATGTTTTGATGAAACTCAAGTTTAGGTATGCAAGGTTAAGTTAAATTCATTTTATCGACAATAAGTTACCAGACTTACTCAATGTGAACAAAGGTGTGCTTGAGTTAAAGGTAAGATATTTATGGTTAGGGTTTGTTTCGTTAGATTTGGGTTTTTTCAATGTTGCATTATTCTTGGGGTAAGAACTAAGTTTTCTTCTTTATAAATTTGTTGTAAGGTAATTGGTTAGCATGCACACCTGTTCTTAACTATTACCTACATCATAATATAAATACCTATTGACATTATGATATGCTTAGTCAATCAACAACGTCTAGTCTATTAATTATGTCCTAGATATCATGATACGTGGACTACATGTACAAGTATATTCATCCACCAAGATCGAGAGGCGAGAGTATAACCCCTTCCTTTAGTACCTTTCCATTTACAGTTTATAAGAAAAGTCTTCTCCTCTAATCATCTCGTCTTCTCTCGTTCCTCCTTTGATCACATGTGTAGTTAACATTACCATACCATCAATATATCACATATTTCTTGAACAACATCACTAAGAGTAACTAAAGACTCACAACAAACCATCACTTTATTTACATCAGCGTGACTTTACTTCTTATACACTACATGTCACTTTTTTCACAGCTAGAAATATTGTTATCTTTTACCACCTGGCAAAATAAAACTACTAACTGGTGTTATTTATGGGGACTTGTATATATTAAAGTCAATATTAAAGCCAATTTCGATTAAAAACAAAATATAATGGTATAATAGGTAACGTTACTTTGCTGGATGTAATATACTAAGCCGCAAGAGACTCAAGAGAACCTTCGTATAAAGTGCTTGAGAAATTTAGCGATTAGTGTTATTTTTATTTTTCCCGTAACTTTGAAGAAATACTTTGATAAGGTATAAGATTTGAAGCAACTTTGAGAATAATAAAGTCTGTTAGCCTTATGTAAGGAGAGTGGTCCTTGACGCTAGTGGGAACGACTGAGGTAGAGTTGCCAGTGTGTTTGTGAAGTTGGGATTTTTTACTCTAAGATACTAACTAATTTTTGACGCAGGAGTTGTGAAGATAATGCTACCAGACATAAGTTTTATTTATTTAACTTAGGGAGAATGGAGGATACTTGATATAAAATATATAAAAAATAGTCTTCAATTTCGCACATGCCTCAACACTCACCAGACAGGATGTACTGTACACACAAAACTGATTAATTTACACTATCTGAGGATTATCTCTCCTGTTTAGTGTTGTTTTATTATAATTAAATGAAAACTTCGAATTTAAATTGATGATGGCAGGGTACAACACATTTTGCGATCTATCACAAATAGCCGCGCATAAACTTGCAACTTAAACGAAAGCAAATACAGTTGTTGGTCTTCACAAACGCCTAATTCTTAAGTTAGGATGTGCTGATGTCAAATTTGCTGAATACAGTACAACTATTCAGTCTTTCCATCTTAAACATTTTGTTATGGTACTTTCTTAAGACCACAATTGAAATAAGTCTTGACGTTTTGTGGTATCCTCGAAGTTGTTATAAATACTGTACTGCACTTATTAAGTTATCATATAGTGCAGTGCACTACGACCTCTCCAACCTTCAAGAATACCCCGACGACCTCTCAAACCTTCAAGAATACCCCGACGACCTCTCAAACCTTCAAGAATACCCTGACGACCTCTCAAACCTTCAAGAATACCCCGACGACCTCTCCAAACTTCAAGAATACCCTGACGACCTCTCAAACCTTCAAGAATACCCCAACGACCTCTACAACCTTCAAGAATACCCCGACGACCTTCAAGAATACCCCGACGACCTCTCCAAACTTCAAGAATACCCCGACGACCTCTCAAACCTTCCTCTCTCAAGAATACCCCGACGACCTCTCAAACCTTCAAGAATACCCCGACGACCTCTACCCTGACGACCTCTCTTCAAGAATGACCTTTCACGAACTCTTCAAGAATACCCCGACGACCTCTCAAACCTTCAAGAATACCCCGACCTCTCAAACCTTCAAGAATACCCCGACGACCTCTCAAACCTTCAAGAATACCCCGACGACCTCTCAAACCTTCAAAATCAAACCTTCAAGAATACTGACGACCTCTCAACTTCCAACCTCCATGGCCTCTCCTAACTTCTGCCAACACCACACACCTCTCTAACTTCTACAACACCCACATGGCCTCTCTAGCTACAACACCCACATGGCCTCTCCTAACTTCTACAACACCCACATGGCCTCTCCTAACTTCTGCAGCACCCACATGGCCTCTCCTAACTTCTGCAGCACCCACATGGCCTCTCCTAACTTCTGCAGCACCCACATGGCCTCTCCTAACTTCTACAACACCTGCATGGCCTCTCCTAACTTCTACAACACCCACATGGCCTCTCCTAACTTCTACAACACCCACATAGCCTCTCCTAACTTCTACAACACCCACATGGCCTCTCCTAACTTCTACAACACCCGCATGGCCTCTCCTAACTTCTGCAGCACCCACATGGCCTCTCCTATGTTCAACACCTCATGACCTCTCCAAACCCCAACACGCCCATGACCTCTCCAACCATGACCTCACCCAAAGTTTTACACCCCCAGCACCTCCCCTGAGTTGGACACCACCTTCAATGTAAAATCTGATACACCATATAGTCTATTTGACTTCGATGACTTGCTGTTAAATCTTACAATGGATGATTTGAAACCAACAAGCTTATGTGAGAAAATGGATGAAAAATTAGGTAACCGAATTACTGTCACAATCATGAACTAAAATGATATATCTTTACAGTACAGCCTCCATAATTTGTATTCCCCAATATCAAAATCACTCATAATTCGTAATGTTTTGCTGTTACGAAATAAATGTTACACTTTTTGTAATATTTGGTAAAATTTTGAACTATGAGAAACATTTACAAATATGTATGACGTACATGTTGCCTCGGGATGCAACCGCCCGCCTCAGTGTGGAGTGCATGTTTACGGTCTACTGCTAAAGCTTCTTCCACTTGTTTTCCAACATTGCCCAGTGTTTGAGTCATTGTTGGGACAGGCAATGGAAGAGTACTGTTTTATTTGACTTCCTCAGGAGGAGTCCCTCATAATTGGTAAGGGCTAGAGCTCCTATTATTTTGATTATGGTGTTTTTACTGTACTGAGAATATTGTAAGGATATTTTTCTGTGTGTGTGTTGGGATATTTTGTCAAATTTCACTTCATCAGCTTATATTACTGCTAGTGCTCAAGAGGTTATGAATATGGTATTTTCTATTATATAAAACATCAAACCTTAAGACTGTAATAATTTTTATATGACTGGAAATATACCTAACTATACTGTATACATTTTATGCTTTTTTAATATATGCTATCTGAATACAAATGAGATCTTATAATTTAGTCTAAATATTAAACTAAATAAATGGAAAATACGACTGATATTTTTGCCCAAATTTTGACCCTCTTAGTCACTCATATGGTACAGTTAATTTATCCTCTAATTTTTATCCACACGGCACTTCAGTTTCAACTAACTTACTACACAATAAAGAAACATAATTGTCCAAGACCATTGAAGCAGACCATCAAGATATGAAATACCATACTGCACACATCATCCATTCATGTACACACTCACCAAACACTTCCTGCACACTACAAGCAATATGTAATCTGAAAAATGAACAAAGAATCTGAAACCATTCCGAGATGACAAGCCCCATTCTGCTCATTCTTACGTCCATCGGGCCCAGGTGTTGGAGAAGGCTTTGTTGAGTGTGCACCTGTACTATGCAACATTCATGCCAAGGTTTGTAATTACCAGTGAAAACCATTTGTGTTTGTTTTGTGAGGTCTTAAGGCCAGAATTCCACAATGCCTTCTAAGACATGAAAGAGTTACGAGGGAAGCACGAGCGTGTCATCAACGGATGCTCAGGAGTGCTGAGTCTAGCGAGGTTCAACAAGCACCCTGTGGTTAATAGTGGACGATGATCCCATTACCAGATCTTGGGTCCACTAATTATACCACACAAAGACATTCCAACTTGAGACGTCCCTCACTGTCACTATACCAACAAAGAAACGACAATGCACATTATCAACTGTGTTACAATGTACAGTAAACTCAAACTACTGTACTGTATATAAAAATAATGAGGTAAACTTCTCAGTCTCTGTTTTGTCAGGAACCCTGTACAGTAAACACCAGTATACTGTGATCACTATCTTACAACTTCAAGTACATTAATATAACAAATCTTCTTTAATAAATACTTTATTACAAATCTCAAATTTATTTACAATTCTGAATATTTTCACCAGTAGATTTAATGAAGTATTTGCCCTATTTAACTTTGCATTTTCTAATAAGTTTATAATTAAGGCATAGCTTACAGAGACCAAATCACTCCTTCCTCAGCTGACCTCAGGATTTGCAAATCTAACTTGTCTTGCAATAATGCAACTCCATGAACCAGAAATCAATAAAAACATAAAAAATAAATTTTCAGTACAGGTATTTTACAGAGAAAACTACTACTCACAATCTACAGACAAGTTTACACTGTTAAGTTAAAGAGTTTAATGTACAAAGGAATAATGAAGCAGCGCAATACACAATAGCAGATGAATTAATGGCCACTTGGAAAAACAAAACATCTTTACTTTTCTTAAATTCTTAAACATTTGTGTTGACAAGACTCAAAATCATAACAAAATTAGGAATCTGTTAACATGTTCAAATTCTCCAGTACATTAAACTCTTACAAATGCCTACCTGAAACTGGATCCTTCCAAAATGAAACTACTTGAGAAACATTTAATAACAAACAGTTTCAAACAATTTGGAAATGTGATAAAGTAAACACAAACAGCTTAACCTGCCTTATGTCTCTGGACTTATGATAATCTCTGTACATTAAGCCCCTGGTAATGTGCACTTGAGACTGAAGCTTCCCGGATGACATTACTCGGAGAATGTTTACCGTTGGATGACTTCAGGAGGAATGTAGCCTTCATCCACCTTTCTGGGCTTCTTTTTTGGGTATCTCAGTGACAGCTTCTTTGGGTAGTACCTGTGAAATAAGATAAAAGTCAGGCAAAGTTTATTTATTTGGAATAAACCCTTAAACGGCAGCCATCATCAAGGAACGTTCCATGTGAGGGAGGAGTAAGGGGATCCTTTACCGCCAGATAATGGTTAAAGTTATCCATTAAAAACTTTTGACCCTGACCATACAGTACACATAATACAGATAAAATTTAATATCCCTCATTCATTTAAGCAAAGGATAATAACAAGGATTTATTTTTGGAGTTTAAGTGATATACAGTGAAGCTTCTATTTACCAGACTATTGGGAGAGTAAAATCCATTATATCGAGGGTCCGTTATATATGAAACCCCCATCTAACGGATTATATGGGGAGAGGAGTCAGTTACATGGAGGTTTCACTGTAAAATGATTGACAATAATTATATCCTAACTTACTTTCTCCTCGTGTCTGGTAACAACATCTCCAACTTTTCCTTGTTGTCAAAGAAGAATATCACTTCTTCTCTCTCAGCCAAGTCCTTCTTCTTCCTCTCTATCTCTGCCAGTAGTTGTCGCTTCTTGTACTCGTCCAGTTGAACTTGGAACTCATTTTCCCTTATCTTCTCCCAACTTAAGTAAGTATCTTCCTGTTCAGAGTAAAAATAATGTAAATCGGAGTTACAGAAAAATCAGAGTGAATAATAAACTAATATTCAAATTGCTTTCTTAGATCCATCTCATACAACACAATAGTTACCCTCTCAAGACAGGACCAGCAAGAGAGAGAGAGAGAGAATGAAAATGTCTTCACCTCTACAATACCTTAATCCTCTATGAGTCTAAGGAATGGTTGTAACATGAGAATCTCCAGTCTAACCTTAGCCTTCTGTACCTCTTCTGCCATAAGCCTCTCAATCTCTGCCCTCTCTAATCCTCCTATCTTCTACCCTCTCTTATCCTCTGCCCTCTCTAAGCCTCTTACCCTGTGTCTGTCACTACCCAATACACTCCAAACACTGGCTCTGTTCACCTTCTTGACCACATACTGTTCTCTGGCATCATCTTCCATCACACCTCCCTCTATTTATTAACATTATTTCTCTCCTAATTTTGAGGGGGAGTAATGTGGGAAAGTAGTGAAAGTGACAGAATATAGGAGAGAAGTTCCAGATAAGTAAAGAAAATGACAAACAAAAGGACCAAAATACATTGAAACTTCCATGTACACTCACACCTTCATCTTCCATACAGTAGACAGTTTAAAAAGTGTATATGACTTACCTGAGCCTTTATATCGCTCGATTCGGCCTCGGTGGCAGCTTTCTGAACCATCTCATTAATACACGATCCTAAGTCAAGTTCGGCTACCTTATCCCCACTGGCTTCAAGACGCAAGATGCCTGATGTGATTCTTTCCTTTATCTCAAGATCATCACAAGTTTCAAGGAAGTTCTTTACTCTGGTTAACTGTCAAGGAAAAAATATTATAACCTTCAAGATATAAAGTCCATTTCAAATATGTTCTAAGCATTTTTGAGATAATAAAGACACATTTGACTTTTTAGAATTCCAACAACTGTCTAAAAAAAATTGTAAATAAAAAATCAAATCAAAATCTTATAAATTTCTATATTTTCCTTAGTTAAAAAAATTAAACCAAACCCAATATCTTGTTCTGTAGTGTAAGTAAGCATCTTGAAATATAACCCAACCATAAGAATGAGCACTGTACATGTCAACAAAACACAGATAAGTTATGAAGAACAGTGGAATGCTATGTAAAGACAGACTGTTTGAAGGGAGATAGTCAACACTGATCAAATGAATAGTTAGACAGGTCATAATAAAGACAAAATACAATAGGTAAAAATAAAATACAAACTATCAATATTACAGTTACCCAAAGAATATATATCTACAGACAGCTATTTGGTCCTTTTCACTTTAGTATGGGAGGATTATGAGGTACAGATATGTTAAAGAAGAAAGGAACTAACAGAGAGAAGTAATGAAAGACAGATGACACAAAAAGGTCTCAGGCGAGGGGGAGAAATACGCACTGATAACTCCTCATATCTTAACATGTATATACAAGTACAAAAAACAATCTTAGCATCCATAGAGTCATATTAATTCATAACAAGTCACTATTATACAGACTGAATCATCATAAACACATAAGAGGATTTAATATCACTCAAACTCAATAGATTCACTTACCACAGATGCAGCAACTGAATCTGTTCCTTTATTTGCTGAGTCTAGTGCAGTATCCAGTTCCTTCCACTTATTATAAAGCGCCCAACCTAGTATCTCACAGCTAATGCCAACTGAGCCACCAATCAGAGGGGAGAGCCAGGCTAATGTCTTGCCAACGATGTGATTGGGATCTTTTAAGTCAAAGTGGTCGTCGAAGTAAGGATTGCGGAGAAATTTCACTCGAATTTTTACCTGGAAGAAAAAAGTTCCGTAAAAATCTATAATTACTTGTCATAAGGTAGACTGACACCATGCTAAAATTGACACCACGTTAAAATTGACACCACGTTAAAATTGACACCACGTTAAAATTGACACCACGTTAAAATTGACACCACGTTAAAATTGATATAGCAGATAAAAAGAAGCTAAATACTATACTGAAGACAACTGATAAAAACAAAGGACAAATCACGACAAGTGAAGGAGATATGGCCACCAAATGAACTATCTTAGACTCTCACTCCTATACCTTAAACATTATGTAATTTACAGAGGACAATACCCCCATTTAGGTTCTAGATCCATACCTCTTCTTCAGGTTGTTCTACTTGTGGGGTGTAGTCCTCCCACGGTTGGTTCTCCTCCGAGGTGACGTAGGAATAACAGGAAGCCAATGTCAGTGCCTGGGTCAACGAGGAGCCAAAATCTTCCTGGAGCATGTGAATTGATGCCACTCGAGCCGCAGCTGAGGAAAGAAGAGTCCAATTATATCTCTTTGCATTTTACTCATAATAGTTCATACTGTACATAATCCATTCCAATCACTAGGTAATATGCAATATATTTCAATCACTAGGTAATAGAACACACTCTTCCAATCACTAGGTAATAGAACACACTCTTCCAATCACTAGGTAATAGAACACACTCTTCCAATCACTAGGTAATAGAACACACTCTTCCAATCACTAGGTAATAGAACACACTATTTCAATCACTAGGTAATAGCACACAATCTATTCCAATCTCTAGGTAATATACAATCTATTCCAATCACTAATTCATGCACAATGTAGATGGTTAATCTTTAGGGAAAATAAGCTGCGGTGTCTATTTATCAGGTGATCAGCTTAATATTTCATAGAGGCTGACATAGAAGTGAATGTTTTAGATTTACTTATCCATCACACACACACACACACACTTGTCAACAGATAGACATAATTAAAATGTAAGACCCTCACTAATTTGGATCTGTAATAATAAACCGTATAACAAAATGAATAATAATGTATGACTGCAGTGAACCAACATCATCCATAATGTACTTAATAAAATAGTAATAATAAGGAATTGATTTTTGTTTTTTGGTAATTCAGTCAATCATTTTGTTATTACTGTACAGTCACTCCAAAACCTATCTTTACTTGGGGTAGTCAATGAATTTTAGAATGAACACTGCGACTCCTGTTGTCTCAGTAGCATGTAATGTCAAAATTCTTATACTGTTGCGTTGTATTTTCTCAACACAATTTAGTAAAGATATTTTGAGTGACTATTTTAATTTACATAAAGTAGAGGATAACAAACCTGTATAATTCTTCTGCTCTAAGAAAGTATCCATGAGGAGGTTGGATATATAATGATCTGGAAATATCCCATAATTGAGAGGATCGGATATGAGTTTCAGTAAGGTCGGGGTGCAGCCTCCCTCTGACAGGACGCGCAGCACAGCATGAGGGGTTGAGGGCAGCGTTCGTACGGTCTCGGGTGAACGACGGAGGCGGTGGATCAAGTCTTCGATTTCATCTTCAAAACCCACTGCTTCGGATTTTTCTATCTTGTTCACAAACTGGAATTATAATGTAAGCAGTGAGTGTCATACCCTTGAAAACTGGAAATACAATGTAAACAATGACTTCCATATCCTTGAAAACTGGAAATACAATGTAACCAATGAGTTCCATACCCATGAAAATGGGAAATATAATGTAAACAATTAGTTCCTTACCCTTGAACTCTATATATAACAATTCAAAATTATGTTCCAGAAATAACTTGAACTGGCTCAAACATCAGTCAAATCAGTGAGTGGATAGACTTAATAAAAAAACCCATTTGAGTATGACTAGACCAAGACAGTACATACCAGATCCACATCAATAGCGCTCACTTTCCCTTCCTGCTTATACTTCAAGTCCAGTTCATAGAAGTATTCACCTGGTGAGAGAAGAACTATGATAAAACTAATTTACAGTACAGTATTATTTCATTTTATTGTATTGTATTCTATCCCATTCTATTGTATTCTATTCTATCCCATTCTATTGTATTCTATTCTATCCCATTCTATTCTATTGTTGTTCTTCCTACACAACAGCCTATCCTAAACCAACCAATCCCAACCTAACTTTACCTAAACTCATCCTCGTAAACAGTAGAAGGGTGGTCAGGTTAGGTGAAATAAACAAAGGCGGAAATTCTTCAGATTCACAGATCTTCCGTACTAACTGATTCATGAAAGATTTTAAGCATAAATAAAAAAAGGAGAACATTATGAAAACACATGATTACTGTACTGCCAATAACAACTATTAAATAAGAAGCAAATTTATGATCTTATTCTGCACTAAGTTTATTTACGATCTACTAAGTTCAAGACAAAATTACTTACTAGGTTTTATGGCAGCTATGAGAGGGAGTTGTAGTCGTTTGTTCCAGGCTTCCTCACAGCGATAAGAGGCAGAGAGGAAGGTACGATAGTCTGTCAAATAATGAGAGATACTTATGAGAATTACAATATTTCCAACTGGATGTTTTAAAATACTGCAATAGGTAAATTTAACATAATTATCCAAAATAAATCACAGTTATCTGTCTATTCAAAGTACAGTGCAGTTATTTACACATTACATGATACAGTACAGCACTCATTAATAACCTGGTACAGTGAGACCTTTACTTAACGGACTATATGGGAGAGAGCGGTCCATTATATCGAGGTTTGTTAGATGTAAAACCTCCATAAGAGACTACAGTATATAGGAGAGTAAAAACCTCCATATAACGGACTAGATGAATATGTCAGATTAATGTCTGTTAAATGGAAGTTTTATTGTGGACTTCTGGAATAATCATCTAGTTTAGTTTCTATTTCTTTTAATATTTGAAGTTAATATAAATTATTATTATTGTACAAACACGGTAACCAATGCAGGATTTCCCCTGGTATTATCATCGTTTTGGTCATGCAGCAAATTTACATTACTTGTAGGTCAGGATGAAATTATTTTTTTTATGAGTTTTAAATGATTCTGACCTGCGTAAAATATGTGCATGACCAAAACGATAATTTTACCTTTGCCCCAACATACAGTAACTTTAGATGTGACATACTGTACTGCTGTAGCCAAGATACAAACACAATTATTGACGCACAGAAGACACAAATCACGTTCTGTTTATCCAACTAAACATCACCCAACCTTCCTGAATGAATCTTGATGACTATAACACATTTCCTTCAATAAATTATGATGGAATTCTACAGGAGAAACTGACACCAATCACTCAGAAAATTAGTCAATACAGAATAATAACAGGAATGAGATATAATACGTCTAAACTGTGCTCAATACTCCAGCAATAATGTCACATACGAATTATTAACCTTAATATGCTAGACAAACACTGACAATTAAACTTAGGTTGTGTTTGTAGTTTATGTGCAGTATGCCGGAGAAATGGCCTTAGCGCCCTCCCTGCCATGTTATTGGTTTGACTTCTTAGATCCGAGTTGTGTCATAAATATTTGTATCTTCATATCTTTATTTTTAAGTATATTTTTCTAAAACTTTTAATATCAAACTAATTTAAATATTTTTATCGATATCCGTTGCAATAAAATATGAAAAACTTAAAGATATTTATGGACTATTATTCACAGTACATAATACATACTTAGACATTGTTTACAAGACAGAAAACCGGGAGGCAGGTTCTACTATGTTAATATAATACAACGAACAAGAACACCACCTCATGAACATTTTATGCACAAGCTTTATTTATTTGATATACTTTTATTACATGTTTATTTTTATTAGTAAATTAGGGTAATTTTGCTGTTTCGTATAATCTAAAATAAATTGCCTCGTAGTCCACATTTGACCATATGGATTTGGGCATCAGAGACAATTTTTTTTTCCTTTTATCCACTTCACCGGCTAGTTAGCCGCTTGGGCGAACGGTCACGTTTCTGTTACGCACTGTTGGGAAGTACAAGGCATGCACTGGCTCCTGAATGTATCTGAACCTGCTCCAGTGTTGGTCAAGTCTGTCTTGAAAGAGCTCACACTCGGTGCCGTCACAACACTCTCTGGTAGATTGTTCCAAGAGCTTGGGCGAACGGTCACGTTTCTGTTACGCACTGTTGGGAAGTACAAGGCATGCACCGGCTCCTGAATGTATCTGAACCTGTTCCAGTGTTGGTCAAGTCTGGTCTTGAAAGAGCTCACACTCGGTGCCGTCACAACACTCTCTGGTAGATTGTTCCAAGAGTTCTCAACTCTCACTCCGAAAAAGTTAACCCTCACAGTTTTCTGGGTTTGCTGCTTCTTCAACCTCGAGCTGTGACCCCTTGTGGGGCAAGCGACCGCCAGCTCCAGATAAGGGCCCTCAACTGAGTAGTGCTCTTTGAGATGTTTATACACCCCAATCAGATCTCCCCTTGCCCTTCTGTAGTATAAGCTAGGCAATTTCAGGCGCTCTAATCTTTCAGGGTAGCTGAGGTGCTGAAGTGCAGGCACCAGTCTGGTGGCCCTCCTTTGGACATTTTCAATCTACTAACAGTCTCTAGCATACCTCGGGGACCAGACCAGACTGGGTGACACAAGGTCATTGACCTAGGGGTGACAGTACTCCAAATGGGGAAGCACTTCACTCTTGAAGATCGTTACGAGGGACGGACCGTCTAGATATCTAAACGACCTTCTTATAAGACCTAATAATTTATTTGCCTGATTTACATTCTTCTCGCAATGGCCCGAGAACTTCAGCTCATTGTCAACATACACACCTAGGTCCTTCTCACATTCAGTCTCAACTAGTGCAGTTTCTTCATCCCGTTGGGACATATGATACGCCTCCTTACCGTTGGTACCTCTCAGGTGCATCCTCTTACACTTCAAGACATTGAATCTTAGCAGCCATTTCTTGGACTATTCTTGGAGCTCTCAGACACCAATACGCGCCCTACTTGTTTTTTGTTTAATTACATCGAGGTTGAAGTGATTATATATTTAAAGTTAATATATATATATTGAAATGCTCAGGTGTTAGTAGATGATAGCATGTCCCTTGGTATGTGGAATTGGATATCTTGTATAATTAGATAACCTGGCATTGGGGATGTTTTGAACTCTGAATTATTATATATTTTGTACATTTTTCAGATTCAACATGCCAAGACCTTAGAGATGTATGGAAGGTAAACTCTTCTCTCATTTTACCCATAGCAGAGTTACTTGGTTAACTTCGATGACATTCTTTAACGTCTCTTTATATTCTAATTAATCCCAATACCCCCATTTTTTCCTACTATAACTAGGTAACATAGGGGATTAATTAAGGGATTAAATCAGAAGGAGGCAACTGGAAGGCAGGAGTCAGGACAGGTATTCACACGTGAAGTGAGTCAGTGTGTCGCCGAACCTCGGGCAGTGCGGACCTCCTCAGGTTGTTCCTCACACCCCGCTGCCTCTCGCCCCTCCCCCTACCAGGTGAGGCAGTGTGCGGATGTTTTAATTCCTCTATGACACGTGGTGATATAATCCAACTAAATTTGTCTAAATACACACAAAATATATATAAATTAGAAGGTTAGAATATAAGGCGACCAGAAATATCAAACAGAATTATCTCAATATTAATATATTATTCTTGTATGTAACTTTAATCATTATCGGTTTATTTTAGATAAATAGGAATATAGACAAAAATGTGGTTCCTTAATTAAATATACTATACTCATACGTGAAAAGAAATAATTACGCTAGATTTAAAAGACAGTCAAACGAACAAGTAAGGGCTCAAGGGTTTAAGGTAAATAGGACTATGAAGGGTCAGTCAGAGGGCATTAGTGACCCCTCCCCCCATCACTAATATGAAGGGTTAGTCAGAGGGCATTAGTGACCCCTCCCCCCATCACTAATATGAAAGGTCAGTAAGAGGGCATTAGTGACCCCCCCCATCACTAATATGAAGGGTCAGTCAGAGGGCATGAGTGACCCCTCCCCCCATCACTAATATGAAAGGTCAGTCAGAGGGCATTAGTGACCCCTCCCCCCATCACTCTTAAGTCAACATGATTATTGTTGATGTTTACGGGGGGTTCCAACAACTTCTGATCAATATTTTTCGTATTTTGAATGATTGACACTAAAGGAGATCCCTAAAAGTCGAATTTAATTACTTATTTCACCTGATGATTAAACACCACTAACTCAAACCTAATTTAACATAACCAAACCCTACTTGATGGGGTTAGGTTAGAGGAGGTCATCTTCATATGATCCTTATCTGCTAATAACTCTTAGGTGAATAACTTGGTAAAAGGTCAAAGGTCAAAGTCAGTGTAATTTTTTGTTTTTTGTCGGGGTGGTTTAGAGTCAACCAGGAATTCACTGAACCTTTACGAATCCATGGCTTGGGTGCTCAGTAAGGTCATGCAGCCGTATAAGATCAATGAAATATAACGTTAAGTATAGCAATAGATGAAAGAATCGGTAAATATTAAGGTAAACAATGCCATTAGTTTATTTTAACGAGAGACGGCATAGGAGAGGATCGCTGGTATAGTCCATGGGATAAAAGTACTAACCACGGTATGATGACGTTCAATTGACTTACCAATCACTCATGAAAATATACAAACACGTTTCAGAGGTCTTAATTAGCGGCAATATATTTATGTGTTATTAGTTCAGTTTAGTATGAGGAGATTTTCTAGGTGAGGTGAGTAAACAGCTAAATTTATACTTAATACGTTTTTTAATAGTTTATAGTTCTGATATAATTTTGTAGTGTTAAATCGTTTTAATGTTGATGTTTATTTGTGTTTATATACAAGTCTGTTTATGATAGTTATGGCGTCAGACCACCCCGCTATTGTGGTGTTTTTTATTTAAGTGGAGCAGCCAGTTCCAGTGTAATTAACCCCTTGAAAACTAAAAGGTGAAGCCATTGTTCTCGTGTTCTTAAAGGCGTAGGAATACAGAGAAACAAGATCGTTATGGTTTTAATATTTGAGACTATTTCAGGGAAGGTTAGTAGTAAATAAGACACATTACTGGGAACACCAACACGAGCTCACGCGTACAATGAAAACCTTAGTACCATTTTTATATTCAAGAGGAATTATAACTCAAATGCTAAAAGTAATAGTAATCTGAACACTATGGATTATTACCTACACTTGTAATGGCTACCTCTTACTCATGGATACAGAATAACCTTTAATAACTGTGTCGTCTTGTCTAGGAACCCGCTAACTGCTGAATGCTAGAAATCAGTTCAGCGTCTGTCCAAACTCACCTGAAGATTAGACACCCAGCTTATTTCACCTGACGATTCGCCTTCCTAATGCTAACTTAAGATATCCTAACCTAACCTAACCTAACACAACCTAACTTAACCCCCCGTGTCTCAATCTTCAGGTGAAATAAACTAGGGTGTCTAATCTTCAGGTGAAATAAGCTGGGGGTGTTTAATCTTCAGGTGATCCCCTCCCTGGCCACCCTAACATCAAAATACAAGACGAATTGAATGCTTGAAATACGTATTGGGTGAGATCCATGAGCCAATACGATTCTACTTTGGATCTTAGTGATTAGGCTTCCCAATACCTCACAGAAGGCTGATAAGAGCAACACTACAGCCCAATAGCCTCCACTCTCTGCTCTTATCGCATAATGTCTTCGATAATGAGCGATTTCCTGTACTTTAAATCCATTAGGTAGGTACATAAGCCAGAGTGATTACGATAACTGGGTGTATATCGTACTCTTGTGGTTATATCGTTATTTTTCCTATCGTTATGGTAACTCGGGGAGTGTAACGTCATCATATAATTAAATAATACTTTTTTCGCTGTTATTAATGTGTACTTAAACCACTTTTTTATTTAACAAGAACCTAATTAATATTTTTTTCACGTATAATTATATTTACTTGAATAATATATATAATCTGGTTGCATTGCAGAGAGAGTTATGTTCTTAGGTAATATTTCTTTTAATAATTTTCCTCCATATTTGATTTTTCGTTGATTCAGTTCTGGTTCATTTATTTATTTCAAGGTGTCTATTTTAAGGTGTCTATTTCAAGGTGTCTATTTCAAGGTGTCTATTTCAAGGTGTCTATTTCAAGGTGTCTATTTCAAGGTGTCTATTTCAAGGTGTCTATTTCAAGGTATCTATTTCAAGGTGTCTATTTCAAGGTGTCTATTTTAAGGTGTCTATTTCAAGGTGTCTATTTCAAGGTATCTATTTCAAGGTGTCTATTTCAAGGTGTCTATTTTAAGGTGTCTATTTTAAGGTGTCTATTTTAAGGTGTCTATTTCAAGGTGTCTATTTCAAGGTGTCTATTTCAAGGTGTCTATTTCAAGGTATCTATTTCAAGGTGTCTTTAAAAGTCATGTTACTCGGATACTCACTCGTACAGGACGTGTTTTGGTGTAGTTAAGACTGTGTATTCAAGGGCGTATGTAATCTATAATCTTGGCGTATGTAATTAGTATAATCTTGGCATGTGTTAACAGTATAATGGTAGCGTAACCAGTCTATCATTTTAGCGTAGTCTATAATTTTGTTGTATGTAGTTAATTTTGGCGTATATAGCTATAATTTTAGCAAATAGTCTATAATTTTGTAATATACAGCTATAATTAGGGCGTATACAGCATAATTTCGGCGTATATAACAATAATTTCAGCGTATACAGTAAAATTTTGGCGTATATAACAATAATTTTCGACGTATATAATTAATTTTTGCGTATACAGCATAATTTCGGCGTATATACCAGTAATTTTCGCGTATACAGAATAATTTCGGCGCATATACTAGTAATTTTCGCGTATACAGAATAATTTCGGCGTATATCACTATAATTTTGGCGTATATAACAATAATTTTGGCGTATACAGAATAATTTTTGCGTATATCACTATAATTTTTGCGTATAGCCCCAGTCAATAATCATAACGTATTCATCTAATCAATAATTAAAAAAGTTTAACGTGTTTTTTTACGATAATTTTGCAAATGTAAAAAAAGAAAAACCCAAAAATACACCTAATGAACGAAGTGGTGAGCAGCTGGGGGTCCTGAAAGCCTAATTATCAACAGGTTAAAACTCTTGCTGCTATCATTCGTGTTGACAGGAATTACGTTAGCGCCAAAACAAAAATGAATAAAAAATCCATATATTTTCTGTTTCGGTTTTTCATTATATACGAGAATTTTTTGTAATGTTATTTTATTTTTTATTTATTTATTTTTAAGTGAGTTTTGTTAGTATTGGTGTTCCTGGTTTTATCTATAGTGTGACCAGTTTTCCCAGTTTACCAGTAACTTTTATGCTTAGTTCACCAGTAACCAGTATTCCCAGTAGACCAGTAACCAGTATTATCAGTTCACCAGTATTCCCAGTAGACCAATAACCAGTATTATCAGTTCACCAGTATTCCCAGTAGACCAATAACCAGTATTATCAGTTCACCAGTAACCAGTAAACCAATAACCAGTATTATCAGTTCACCAGTATTCCCAGTAGACCAGTAACCGGTATTACCCATTCCAGAGATAGACACACAATCGCCTCATCTTGTGGTGTGGGAAGGACGCTGTCTCTACCACACAAAGGCATCAAACAGCGAATTTCCTCGACAAAGTTTAGAATCGGGGATGGGAGGGAGGATGGGGTGGGAGGGATAGGGAAATGAAAGGGTGGGGTGGAAGGGAGGATGAGAGGGAAGGGGGGTGGGAAGGAGGGAGGATAGGTGGGTGGGAGAGTGACCACCGTCTTGTTGACATCTTGTGTTGCCGCTGACCACCACCACACTCCACCACCATCATCCTCCACCGCCACCACCACCACCACCACCACTCAGTCTTATGCTAGTTTAATAATAGATTTTAACTATTATAAGGAAATAGTTAATAAAGAATAAACAAATTACAGAATAGCGATTTATGAAGTTAAGGTCATTCACTAATTACAGGTGTATTAGTGACGTCAGCAAGGCCGCCGTGGATGAGTGGTAACAGTACTGGTTCCCGCCAAGAGGGACCAGGTTCGACTTCCAGCTTCAAGCCCCGGTGAGTGTCTGTCTGTACGTCTGTGTATGATTTTGTCTATCTATCTATTTATCCATATATCTATCTATCCATCTATCTGTCCACCCATCCCATCCTCTCTCTCTCTCTCTCTCTCTCTCTCTCATTACACACCTTTGTTATTAATTACGCCTTGTTAATTAAAGTTAAATTTAAACATCAGGTAATTTTAATCACACCGACAAAAATTTGTTTATTTAATTATTTTTATTTAAATTCCGGATTAATTGAAGCATTCATAGGTGTTTATCATAATTAAAGTCCTGAAAATTGTATGGGAGGTAAATACGACGGTTTCATTGGCTAGTGTTTACAGGTTCTCATTGGCTAGTGTTTACAGGTTCTCATTGGCTAGTGTTTACATCAGGGTGTTATAGGAGGGAACTGTGTACACCATAGGAAGGAACTGTGTGCACCATAGGAGGGAACTGTGTACACCATAGGAAGGAACTGTGTGCACCATAGGAGGGAACTGTGTACACCATAGGAAGGAACTGTGTACACCATAGGAAGAAACTGTGTACACCATAGGAAGGAACTGTGTACACCATAGAAGAATCTGTGTACACCATAGGAAGAAACTGTGTACACCATAGGAGGATCTGTGTACACCATAGGAAGAAACTGTGTACACCATAGGAGGATCTGTGTACACCATAGGAGGATCTGTGTACACCATAGGAGGGAAGGAAGGAACAATACCTCAGGGAGAGAGAGAGTAGATGTAAGAGAATAGGGACAATAGGGTAGGCTTTGAGGCCCCTTCCTGTGTCCATCACCTGACGGGGCTTCTGGAGGAGTAAGGCGCCCTGGATAGGTGATAGTTACTGAGAGACTCGTGTGTGTGTGTGTGTGTGTGTGTGTGACCACCCCATCAAACGGATTATATGGGTTGACAGGTCTGTTATGTAGATAGATAAGTCCGTTATATGAGTACACAAGTCCGTTATATGAGTACAGAAGTCTGTTATATGAGTACAGAAGTCTGTTATATGAGTACACAAGTCCGTTATATGAGTACACAAGTCCGTTATATGAGTACACAAGTCCGTTATATGAGTACACAAGTCCGTTATATGAGCACACAAGTCCGTTATATAGCGGATACGAATTAAAACTCAACATTGGTTCGTGGTAATGAGTGGAGATGCTTTTGATGGGATAAAATACTGTACCCTGATACAGTCATTAGTGAGTGGTGTACCAGACCGCAAAATACTCGTGTGTATAGAATAAAAGTATAAAATAACTTTCCACAGAATAAAAGTTTAAGTATTTTTGTAGTTTTTACCGTAAAATTGAGGTTTCGACCAAAATAGTCCTGTATAAAGTAAAAGTTTGGGTATTTTGTGAGGTCTTGTGTGTGCGTGTACGTTGGCTATTAACACGTGGTAGTTATTCTTACTATTACTCTGGTAGTTAGTCTCTCTCTCTCTCTCTCTCTCTCTCTCTCTCTCTGGTGACACTCGTATGAATTTAAAAAATGTAAATAGAGAGAGTGAGAGAACAAGAGAGAGAGAGTGAAACAAGAGAGAGAGTGAGACGAGAGAGAAAATAAGAGTGAGAGACGAGAGATAAAACAGAGAGAGAGAGAGAGAGAGAGAGAGAGAGAGAGAGAGAGAGAGAGTATACAGTACTATACATTATTAAAGATAATATTGACGGTGGTGGTGTTGGTAGGGGGAAAAGGGAGGGAGGAGGAAGGAAGGGGAGGGGGAAGGGAGGTAGGGGGAAAGGAAGGTAGGGGGAGAAGGGAGGAGAGGGGAAGGAAGGGAGGAGAGGGGGAAGGAACGAAGGAAGGAAGGAAGGAAGGAGAAGGTTGTGTCCATGTGAATGTTTGTCAATAATTGATGATAGTCATTGAGGCATCAGTGTTGCCATCTTCACCACCACTCCCCTTGATGGTTGTCAATGTTACCACACCAGCACCAAACCTCTTAGAATTTACTGCAACAATTAAGAAAATAATGTCAAGTTCTTATGAAATTATCTGTGAATGGTAATATTTGACCCCATGTATGTATGTATGTATGTATGTATGTATGCATGTATGTGTGTATGTATGTATGTATGTATGTATGTATGTATGTATGTATGTATGTAGACAAATCGTGTAATCTTCTAAGAATGTAGTGTAATATGGAACTAGATAACAATACATACATACATACATACATACATACATCATACATACATACTGTACACATACATACATACATATATACACATGACCGCGTCCGATTATTTTGCTTCGTGTTTCAGTCGCTTTAAACCCTGATGAATGAGCGAGATAACTGATAATAATTCCTGATAAAAAAACACAAATTATTTTTCGCTCGTGTGGTGTTTGTTTGGATGGCGACTTGTTTCTGATTGGTTAGCGAGTCAGCCAATCAGATGTTGTTCCGTCAGTGTGCATTAGTTGATGACGTTGATGTAATTAATTTTTTTTTGAGGCGGGTTCTTCATCTGACTCGAGTGATGACGCTTCTGATAATACTTAACTTAGTCTTATCACCACTACCACACTACACCACTACCACACCACACCACACCACACCACACCACACCACACCACCACCACACCACACTACACCACTATCACTACTACACCACCTCACCACCACTACACCCCCACCACACTACCACACTACACCACTACAGCCCCACCACACTCACTACACCACTCACCACACCACACCACACCACACCATACCACCACTACCAACACCACACTACACCACATTTATCCCGAGGGTTTGAGAGTGTCGCCTGTATGTCTGTCTTCATTG